GCCAACATATACAAATATGAAAAAATTAAAATCTTAATTTCCAGAATATAACATATTTTATACATACAAGGATAAAATACACAGATTCCTTGACACAACATGTATACAAATAATAATTGACATTTCACGAAATCTGAGTTATCATCTGATTTTACAACAAATTTGATCATTTCTTGAAAAAAAAATTGATACATATGTAAAAATTATAAAACTTTAAAATGTTTAGGTATTCTATATTAAAAACACAATATCAGATATATTTAAAGAGATTTCATAAAATATAAGTTCTAGATTAGATCCATAGACCCAAAAAGTTTAAAAAAATTGAAAAACTTATACAACATATTTCAGGATTATAAACAGTTTGCTTAAGTTAAAAAAATGAGATACTCTTCTGATATTGGGACCGTATTCAGAAATGTATGTATTTATGCAGATGTATATATCTCTATGTGTACATGCATACATATATGTGGACATACACACATATGTACATACATACATGCATATATGAACACAGACATTATATACACATGCATACATATATACATAGTCCTGAAAACAGAAGAGTACCAAAATGACAGTAAGTATAAATTATAGATGTATCTTTCAGTGTTAAAAATATATCAAAAGCATACTTTCTTTTTATAACAGGATGCTGAGATTAATGGAAAAGAAATTTTGATATAACTACTAAAAGATGCTATCAAGTATAAATTCAAACTTATCACAGAGATTTTAACAATATGATTGGTTTTAAAAAGAAATAATACACAGATAGCTAGCTATTTTCATCCATTATGTTATTATATGATGCAGAATGAAAACTAGTTATTAGTAAATAATAAAAGTTTAACAGAATTCCCAGAGTTTGAAAATTTTCCCGATTTGAAGACATTTTATAAAAATTTATCAATTTTTTATTTTAAAAATGGCCAGAATAAAATCTTTTCATAACACATTCTTTTATCTACCAATTATTAGTATTTTCAATAAAAATAAGTAAGGCATACATTTTTTTCCTCTTTGTGCAGAATATATTTCATTACCATTTATGTTACCCCAAAATAAAGCATTGCACCTTGAGAATAATTGCACAAATTCAAGGCATAGAAATGAGTATTAGTATTGGCTAGAAACTGAAAATAGAGAACTTTGTCATAAGTTGCAAGTTATTTTATTAACTGATGAATATAAAATGAAGTGAATATTCTTATCACAAATTAATAATTTGTACAAATTAAGCTATTAAAGATTTTATACCTTTTAAAAATGTATAAAAATACTTTTTTTAATGCTATGTGGTACAAATACAAAAAATAACAAAATAAATAAATGAAAGTAATAATATTAAGTAATGATATAAAAAAATAAAAGATGTATCTCTATTAGAAATGAATTTTAGCAATATTGCATATAATAAAATTATTTCAACCAAAATTTTATCAGAATGTAAATACATTAACATAGTACTAATAAAATCTTCAGTGCTATTCAAATGATTGTTTTAAAAGATTTATGGAGTAAAATTCTGATTAACAGGGCTGGATTTTTTAAATGAAGCCTCTATAGAGCAAACTGTTTCAGGTAGGCAAAAAAACTCCTGTTCACACATAATCCATTCTGTGAATAAAAATGGGTACAACCAAATGATTATGCGTCACTTTAAGCTCACAGAGATTTATAATTACATAAGAAAAAAGTAAAGCATATCAGGGCTATCTGCTAGAGTTCCAAGCAGTTTTTGACTTGATTAAATAATTATTGTAATCAAACAATTTTTGCCCATGAAACCTATTTTCCTCTACCACTAAACCCTTAAAAGGATTTCCATTTGGAGAAATATTAAATGCCTCTATGAATACTTATGATGAAAAATAATTTCAAAGAAATGATGATCAATCATAAACTGATTGTTATAATATTTCCTGTTGAAGATAAAACTTTAAAGGTTCTTAAAAGATAAAAAGGTTCCTTTTTTGATGACTGAATAAAATGGCTGCATGAAGTTTTCTCATGTCTAACATAAATATAAATCAGTTTCCCTTAGAAAAGAAAAACAGAAGTTTCATGTACACATTTCTTTTTTGGCAGACAGCCCTCACATATTTTCTGCATCATCTGAAGTATATCAATTAACCATTAACATACGTGACTTATTAAAAAAGATTAAATTTAAAGAAAACCGTACTGCTTGTTATGGAGGTTTTGAAATATGTATTTATTAAAATTTACTTCACATAGAAATTCTAAAAATGAAAATACACACACAAAAAAGAAAAAAAAAAGAAAAAAAAAAAAAATCTGAAAGGGTTCAGATAATAATGGTTGCCCAAAAGGGGTCTTTTAAAGTTTAAGATGGTAGAAAATATCAACAGTTACAGATTCAAACTACCCATCTGGTGTACCATCAATAAAGATTATGAACCTTCATTAAAACAACAGTTATAAACATTAATAAGAAATATACTTAATAATTCTAAGAATGCTGTCATGTCCTAAAAATTAAACCTTTATCTTGCAACTCCTTTAATTAGTTATTAAAAATGCTGATATATAAGCACAACAGCTACAAAGAAAAATCACATATTATGTGTGTCTTTTATTCACTATTTTATCAATCTTGTGTCCTAAATCGGTAACAGAGTTTTTTGATTAATGGTAGTATAACATTGAATATACTGCTACATAGAATTAAATTTCCGTATTCAGCTAATAGATTGCTATGTAAACCGATTAACTGATTATAGAAATTTAATTCACTTATTATATAAATATAAAACATAAAATGCACAGAAATTACAGTTTTCAGAAGAAAAACAAGTGAACACCTAAATACCTTTATATCTTTTGCACTAAATAGTTTCAACTAATTTTCGTTAGGCATATTTTCTTTTAACATGGCTTAAACTATTATGGCAACACATTTTAAATAGGAACTTATCAAAATCAGACTTAGACATCTTTTATTTACATAATTACAATACATGAATATCTTTTACATATATGCATTACTTAAGATAATTATGAAGTTATAATTTAAAAAAAAATTATTGTGCAACATTTTACTGCACCAATTTACTGGGGAAAATCAGTAAATTTCAAGAATTCCTAAGTTGAAATGTAAAGACTAATCTTCGTAATAAAGCTAGGGATTTGAAGTGGCCTTAAAAATTTTAGAGCCAGTGATGGAATGCACACCTCTTGAAAGTTTTAGAGGAATTTAAATCTTTTATAATTTTCTAATAAATACTGTAGCACTTGAATTTATTTCCAGTACCTCACAATATCAAAACTAATTTAGCTTTAGAAGTTTAAAAACAGAAATAGCTTTGTTTATACACAAATTCTATCAAACCATAAAGGAATTCAGTATAATACTATTATCTTCAATACACATATCCGGACTTCATTCTGTTTATATTAGAAGGAACAGAAAGCAATACTTAAACAACACTTCATTAAAAACATATTAGTATCAGAATCTGTTAAGGAAAACTATTAAAGTCTGATAAATTTTCAAAAACTGTCATCTAAATGGAAATGAACATTATTTTTCCTAAATAAACAAATTTATTCATTACAAAATACGTAGATCATTTATTTACCTACTGATTAAAAACTATTTATATGCATAAGTATCCTAGTTATGACACACATATTTAAACACCTCAGTTTTTATTCTGAATAGCCATGAGTTTTTAGTTTCAGAGACTGTTCCTTTCATCAAATATAATGCATATAATATTTACCATATTATTAAGTTCATATAAGTCTTGATAAAATTCACTGTTCTCAACATATATTTTTATATAACAGACACAAATAAATTATTTGCTAAAATTACATTAACAATACTTAGAAATACTACTTTCGATAACCATTTAAATGACACTATAAGTTGTGTAATAAAATCCTTATAAATATATTAATAAAAAGTGAGCCGTATAAAATTAATGTTAACAGTTTTCAAGTTTCAACATAAAACTGCTTTGAGCATGATAGAAAATGCACTATAAATTAATGACTATAATTCATAATATAAAATAAATATAAAAAATAATAGAGCTTACACTGGTTAGCAACAATAAATCTTTCACCATTTAAAAAAAAAAAAAGGAATTTGAATGAAAAATGCAAATAAATTTCCATTTTGATCCATAAAAATACATAATAAACATCAAACATAATTATTTTAAAAAAATTGATGTGAACACCAGTACAGCCTATTATACACATTTTTTGCTTCACTTCATTTAACCTTATTTCCTTAAATTATTCTAAATTAATTAACAAATCCTTCATAGCAAGTTGAAAATAACATCAAAAATTGCAAATTTTGAAATTAAATAACCTGGCCAGCTTTGGCCAGATGGAAGTCAAACTTCTTCTATTTTTATTTTTTCATAACGAATATAAAACTTGCACAAATATAAGTAAATGAACCGGGAGACTAAATTAAAAGTTAGATTTCCTTATTCATCCAAAATAAATTTTTCTTTTACATTGAAATTTTCAAAACATAAATATTTTCATCATTTAAAATACTGCTGTAATGGGAAGTATAAGTCTGCGAACAATAATTGTGAAAATAAAGGCCCAGTAGGGACTTTTAGGAAAAATAAGGGGGAAAGCTGTATATATATGTAAACTTTTTGCATGAGTGCACATTTCTTGGTAGTCAAGTGAAGAAGTAGGAGTGCACAATGAAATATTATAGTAATCCCATACCAAAATTTCAATGAACATCATGAAAATATCTAATTTGAACTCATTTTACAATTTGTTTTGGAATAAAGAGTTCTTTATTCTGTCTGTACATTCAGATGTCATAGGAAAAAAAAATGTAGTCAATTTTCTTTGAAATCTGAAACCCCTAAAATTTGAGACTGAAATCTTCTTTCCACAAGGGAATAAAAAGGATTCACATCAGATCTAAAAAAGTGCTTAGGTACCAATTAATAAAATTTTGTCCATTTATATCAAATTAAAATCCTTGGTTTTTTTTTTTTTTTTTTTTTTTTTTTAACTAAATGCATAGAAATTGAAATCAAGACTTGAGAAACAAGAGTAACAACAGATAATTTTTTGCAAGTTTCCTATGCATTAAGAATTATTCATTCAAGATGTTAAAACTATGGAATGTATTTGTAAAGACGAATACAGATGCACACAAGTTAAAAGACATTCAAATGCATAAAAACAGTTTAAAATAAAATAAAAAAGAAAGTTACACAATTTAGATCACTACTACTATCAAGAAGTATATATCTTATTTCAAAACCCAAACTATTTTTTGTTTTTGTTTTTCCAAGGGACCATGAATAATTTGTTTAGCAAATGGTTTCTTCAGAAGAATTTGTGTAGCTGATTTAAATTGAAATACACTTTTCCGACCAGAAACAGTCAAGTCAATAATCAAAATTGATGTTAATGTCACTAAAAAAAGAAAACAAAATGCATTTTAAATTTTGAAGAAACTCTAAATTTTATGGCAAGAATAAACTCAGTTGCATAGCACAACTATCCTACAACAAAGCTAAGCTAAATAAATAAAAATAGTGATAAATACATACACCACATGTCTAAGAAACATTATAGAAACTCTTAATAGCTTAAAAATATAGTACTCAGTTTAAAAGAACAACACTTTACGTGAAATACTTGGCAAATTTTGGAAAAATTTCCGTACGCTTATAAAAATGTTCATTGCGCATTTAAACTAAAATAAAAAAGGAAGTTGTTACAGATAAATGGAAGAAGATTCAACTTATGTATAAAAATCAATCACAATTTTTCCTTTAGATTTATTTTCGCTTTTTCTTTTGCAAGTTTCTCGTATTCATTCCATTCCACAGGCCAAAATGCAGCAGTGCCAATCGTAGCAAATACGACCAAAATTAGAAGTTGAGAAGGCAATTCTAGAGCAGTGGAGTAGGAAAAGGCAACGGCAGCTCCAATAGACTTTAATGAAAACAAATATATGTACACAGTTTATATGGAGCATTCAACATAATTTTTTATATTAACATAAATAAAAATTGCATCTTATACATAATGTTAAAAACTTAACTGTGACTATTATTCTGATTTAAGATTACTGGAATTCATAAAATTTACATCATGCAAATAAATTTTTTAAAAAAGGTAAACAATTTGAAATAAATATAAATAATATAAAACTCTTTTGAAAATTAAAAAAAAAATTACCTGAAAGAATTTGAAAAGGGCAAAAGCTGGTGCACTGTCATCTGCATACATCGAACCCAATATTGAATACACCTGAAAAAGCAAATTGGAAAGAAAACTGGCTAAGTAACAAACACAAATATTTTCATATATTTATAGAGTTTAGAGGAGTGAATAACATGTATTTTAAAGATTTACATTTTCATTAAGACATTTAAATTCATTTTCCTGTACTCATGTATTATCTTGTTGACTAGCTTAGTAACACAATTTACTGTCAGTTATGGATGACCGTATCCTCTAGAATTCCACAGCAATGAATGGCGATTGGTGGCAAAATTTCCACCAACTGTCAATGGAATAATACTTAAGTTGTTGTTGTAAATGCTCACTTATCTGACCTATAGTCAATCCAAGCTCACGAAATTCCTCATGGCAAGGAGCACAAGTTTACGCCTGTTGTTGGTAACAGCCTTGGGCACCTTACAGATGACAGTAGCTCAGTTCCACTCCCAATTTTGATGGAGAGCACCCACGGGAGGACGGGTCTGAGGGTCTCCCACCCCTCTTCCTCTACTACCAATCTCTCAAGAGGACTTTTGGCCCACCACATGGACACTATACATTTACAAACATCCATGCCTTCTCCAGAATTTGAACCTGGGCCCTTCGACACGGCAGTCAGCAAGCCTAATCACTATACTGGTTGGGCAGCTAACACTTAAGTACATATTTTTTTGTGATTATACATCTAGTTTATCAAATTTATACATCTTGGACATTGAGCACAAATGTAAACCCTAAGCCACATAATTTAATCTGTTGCAAATTTCAAGAAATATCAGTACCAATATGTACATGTAAAATAAGTAAATTAAAACTATAAGTTAAAATACAACAGCCATAGTTCTTCATTTTAATTTGAGTAACTCCCCTTTCAGTTCTAAAAGCAGCAACTATTATTAATAAATTTTCTGCACTACGTTTTTCAAAGTTAATCTGTTTTTATGTAACACATGTAGCAGGGATTTTCTTGAATGTGCTCTTTCTTTCATTACCCTTGCTGTGGTAACAAGAATCACTCTTCTCTCTGTTCAACCATTGTCTAGAGATGTGATAAGGTATACAAAATTGTGGAGTGTATATTGCACCCATAATAATGTGCGAATGAGAATAAGTAGCTCAAGAATGTCCAGCAATAAATTATACCTTATCTTCAGCCACATCTGTCTGCAGCATTATCATTACGTCTATGCAATAAACCTCTCCAATTCTATTGTAGCTATCACTCAATCATCAAGAGATTTCGCAAATTACATACATACATACATACATTATATATGCATGTAATGTATATATCCATTTCATAGCGCACACATTGGAATTGTGCTGGGAGATACATGTATATATATGTATATGTATATATCTTGTTATGTGCATATGGATTCATAATGGATTGAATGCACAGAGAACCAATGATAGTCTGATAGAATTTATTTTCCCAAAAGAAACATTTTCTGGTTCTGGAACTTTCCACAAAAGTACTTGTACTTGTCTCAGTGTAACAGAGCACAATCAGTAGTTACCATCTCAAACTATTAAGAGCGTTAAATACAACATAATGCAGAGCACAATCAGTAGTTACTACCTCAAACTATTTAGAGCGTTAAATACAACACAAAGCAGAGCACATCTAAAAAGTGATGTTCGTATGGAGATCTCTCAAGTCTGCAAAGTCTACTCTGAACCGAAAAACTGACAACTGATGCTCTCTCAGTCTGATATAGTTTCCTCCTGGCTGACAGAAAATCTCCAGTGCCTTCTATTTTTCAAAATTACTGGAAGGCATATATATGTTACATATAAAGTTACATATAAGGAGCAGGTACAGTTACAGTAATAATTACATTTTGTGGAATGCTGGATTAGCACATGTACTGAAGTTATCCATTAATTAGTTCAACTACACAGTTAATTAAAAATTCACAATTTAATGAGAATTAAGATTAACAGTAACAAATACATTACAGAAAAGATTTGGTACTAGTAAACAGTATTATGCATTGTAATTACATTCACTAGATCACATGCTAGTCTGTCTACATAACAACATTCAAATCAGAAATAAGTAATTTCAGAATGCACTTTCCTACTGTGAACAAAATTACATTCCAGCAAAATTAAGTTTTGGTAGGGACAAATTGAACAACTCCTCACAAGTTATACAGGGACTGGATCAAAATTTTGCAAAATTGTCACCAAGTGTGATGACTTTTGCCAGTTTCTTCCCAAATTTGGGGACAAAAATTAATCAACAAAACTATCGCCAACTTATCGAGATAGCCATTTACCTCAATGTTAAATAAACTTAGCCTTGTAATTTTATCTTTTCGTCAAAACTTTGCTTTCAGAAGGCATTTTATATGTTATATTATGCGAAAGATACAACAATTTTACATACAATGTCGCCAAAACTATTTACAAATATATAAAATTAATAACGATACGATGTTTAGAAAATTCATGACACAATGGGGAATATGATTTATGGTGTGAGAGAGCTTGATGCATAAAGAATGCTAACAGCTGTAGTAGTCGATATAACATTTCTTCTTATTCTCAGTGACAAATATTTCTAAGCCAGTTTAATTTTAGTTGAAAAAGTAGCAGAGGACAGCAGCACATTGGCAGCACAGAAGTGGAAGAGCAAAAGCGATTGATTCAAGATGAAATCCTCATTCAAAATAATTTGGTTTCAGCTTCATCTTAATTTCTACCAGTTAATAATTATATTCTAAAATTATTATTGTCTAAAACATCTATGAAAGAGCCTGCATCATTAGAAGCATGTACAAATCACATGAGAGCCATTAATTTCAAAATGACAAAGATTAGAGAGGTTTATTGCAAGTAGTTTCTATTTTTAGGACAAAGAAGGAATAACCATATTAAAAATGGAGATTCAAAGGAATTAGAATTTTTGTTTACCTATTTTTTATCTTACACACTATATATATGCACACTTGAAACACACATATATACACACACTTGAAAAAAGAAAGAAATTACATAAAAATTCTACAAATTACTTAAATTGCAAATGTTATTACTCAACTATTGACAGTATTATTACAAATTTTGTATATGTGCAACTAGTTTAGTGAAATTATATGTGAAATTTTAGTATCTCTTGTATGATGTAACACGGAAGACTGCAAGAAGTGAAGCTCCTAGGAAAAAATAAGGTTACAGGGGCAAGTTCATTTAACATTGATGTAAATGCCATTAGGTGAGATAGTGCCAAGCTGGTGGCGATTTTGGCGACTAACATTTGTCGCCAAATTTGGTGAGAAATCACCAAAAGTAATTAAACTTGATACCTGTATAGCTGTAACTGATCTAATTCCATATGTAACTGTTAATATCTTCCAGAAATTTTGAGAGACCAAAGGTACTGGAAATTCCCTGCCAGCCAGCAAAACTATATAAGATCCAAGAGAGCATCAGTTTCTGAGTTTTTTAAGTCCCAATCACATTATATTTCCGCACATATAGTATGAGGGACTGGACGTCGAAAGGGACAATTCTCAGAACCTGCACATTTTCAGGAAACCCACGTAGCTAGGTTACGTTTTTCACTTACTACAAAGACTTCAATGCCAAACAGTAATCGATTATCGCTCAAATTGGGATCATGTGATCCTTCAGAAGCAGAACTTTCGTCTGATTGGTTGATCTCTACGCGGGACAGAGCTCCAGCCAAAACATTTTTGTCGAGGTGTCAAAAAATCCTGCGTAGCCGGTACATCCTTTCCGTAGCTAGGTGGGACTTCACTTCCAGCGGTGCTCTTTTTTCTAGGAATCCTCCGATTTAAACCAGTGCTACCAGAATCTCGTTTCTCAGAGAAGTCCCATCTAGCAGGGGTTGTCGCTAGATGTGATAACCTCTTAAGTTTACAGTTGACTTCGGAGTATTGAGAGATTTGCATGGGATGCGCTTTGCATTGTGTTCTGCTTAACATTCTTAGTAATTTGAAGTGGTAACTGCCGATTGTGCTTTGTCATACAGAGAACAGCTGTGCGAATACTTTTGTGGAAAGTTTTTTTGGGGGAAAATTAGTTTTATTAAGCTATCATCGGTTCTGTGCAAATTCAATACATTATGAAAACCGTTGTAAACAATAATATAATCAGAATCTGAAACTACATCTTATTTACCTCTAAGAAAGAATATTAAAAATTTCTGTACTGATTTAAAGTTTAATAAGTTTTACAGACTGAAACTGTTTTAATGTTAAAGAAATTATGAAATTTTCAACTAATAAGAATTAATAAAAATCACAATAACAACCTTGTATTTAGCATACATATATTAAAACACTCAATCGATTTCGAGGGCAGCTAAAGGTCCCTCTTTGTCAGGAGAACGAAATTGCTAGAAAGGGGAAAAAGAAGAAAAATAAAGCACTGGCAAAGGAGACTCAGAAGCACGTGGTTGCTATCAGCACTGCACGTGGTCATAACCAGATTTCGAATCAAAGTTACACTGGCCACCTACTTTTACTGAGCCAGGTTATCTGATCAAACATAACACATAGACTAAAATGCAAAAATATTAGCAATGTAAAAAAATAGGGAGCGAGGGGCAACTGCAACTTCACGCACCAAGTCTGAACCTCGAATGAATTAATAAGATTAAATTAATAAGAATTATTGAGAAATGTAAGACACTACCAATTCTTTCATCATTTAATAAAAGAACCAGTACTTCTGTGCAACTAAGAAAAATACAATGCAACTAATTCATGCTCAAATAAATAAATAAATATCATAAAATAGGAGCTTTTTCCAATGAAGGGATAACAGTACCAAATCTCACAGAAATTACTTCAGGAATTCAAAGATCAGAAAATATAGGTGAAGAAGACACAGAGTGTGGATGGCTAAAGACAAAAGCAGTGAAGACTATAGGACTTTGTAAGACCAAAATACTTGTAATGATTTCAAACAAGAAAATAAAAGAATAAAGCTGAAATAACAAAAGCAACTGCACTAAGGCCCTGGAATGCATATACAAGTTTACAAGTTATTACACAACATGGCTCAATAAACTGAGTTCGAATTTCATGAAATTCTAGCTTTGTGCACAGAACACTTGGATATATCTAGAAACATACAGACAAATACTTTGTCTCATCATATAAATGAGATAAAGTAGTATTAAATAATAAATATATGCATTCTTTATGTTCCCAATTTTATGCATATCTTATAACAAGTCTCATTATACTGCAAGAGATGCATAAATACAGGGAATATGGAGCAATGCAAATGTACACATGGATAGCTTTATGCTATGAAGAAATGATAGAATTTAGATTTGAAGCAGTCACTGATCAAAGCAATCACATTTGCCCGGATTATTTGCATAGCATTAACTGAATGATAACATTTAACAATGAGAGAAAAAAAAAAAAAAAAAAAAAAGAGCCCTATACATGTTCAAAGGAATTTCCCTAATTTACTAGAAATAGATTAAAAACTAATAAATTATATTAATTGAAACCAAAACTAAAAATTCATAAATAATGAATGAAATTACTTGTAATTATACCATCCTATGAAATTTATCATGGCTAAAATCAGAATTAAAATGATAAATGTCACTATAACCCAGGCAATTAGCTAGTGACTGTCCAAGTAATTTTACATCTTTTCTATAAGGGCAATCCAGAAATAGAACAGAATTTAGCAAAAACTAGGATCTTTTCCATGTTCTCAAAATCAGACTTCCCATTACCTATAAGAGCAGGGGTGAGAAAACACTTTTAATCACAGGTCAAAAAAATCTTTTTTAGTGTTTTACATGGCAGGGCCATTGCAAGATCTCATGATGCTTGTGTGACTATTTTCCACGATGCCTTTACTGTTTTCCAGAACATAATGGTCAGGGGCTGGGAAAAGCCCTCTTTAGTAGGAATTTTTTAATAAAATTATAATTTAAAATAGCATTTTATGAACTTCATATTTTTTTACTTTAAACTCTAGAGAGTGAACACAGTGGCAAAAGCCCTACATGAGGGCCAACCAATGAAATATAAAATGTACAGGTAAATTTCAAGGAATATGAAAAAGATGAGAAAGCAGACTGTACACTAACTGAGTTCCATAACTTGTCACTACTGCTCTTACTATGATCCTCATCAAGTAAACTATGCATCATCAACAACAACAAAAAAAACCCCACATTTTTTAGATATATCATCCACTCATGAATATTTAGCATCATGAACGCATATATACATTTGGCAGTTGTTTGCTGAATTTGTCAAGTTTAATCAGCAAAATCCCAGTTGTACAATGAACGTTTGAGTGTAGAACAATGCTTCACTACAGCTGCTTTCTATTCTTCAGGTTAGGAGTAATTTATAATTTTATTGCTGTTAGGTTATTGGCAATTGGCAAGTTCAGCAAATATACACTAAAAACGGGATCTATTCCTATTAAACATGAAATGATTGACATTTATACGCCTTCATTTTCAAATAAAAAATTAAATATTGCATATCTACTGCTATCCAGCATATCTAGTGTTTTCAGCTTAGGTTAATTGCTAGCATATATATGTGCATGCATACTAGCCGGATTCAGCAATTAAAAGGTTTTGGCCACCTGTACAAGAGGTTCATTTTTTTATTGCGCCTGTTCTATTATTTAATGATGAATGGAAACAGTATGCAAAAATATCATCAGATCTATAATCAAGATTAACCACAAAATCCTTCAAGACTATGCTTTCTGATTCTTTTAAGGCTGACTTGGGTATGAGGAAGGAGCACATTATTCGTAACATTCCTCGAAAATTCATCTTTGGGATCATATTTTATCTCACTGTATTTTTAAAGCAGTTAGTACAGCAGCTGACAAATGTCTAAATCTTTTGATTTTTTTATGTAGAAATCAACTCCTGAACACAAAATCCGATTTAATCTATGATCACACATGTTCATTAGAATTCAAAAAGTCGATTCAATCAAAGATAAATAGTTTTTTGGACAAAGACAAATTCTTCAACTGGTCTGTCTCCTTTAAATTCCATTTTGGACAAGTGTTATGACTGGAAAGAAGCATGGAACTCTAAAAGCCATATAAAAGTAATATTTCATAATTTTTATAAAACTTGGTTGTTTCAATTTAAAAATGACAAAACATAAACAATATTCGTGACATTTAAAACCTTTTTGTAACTGAAAGCATAGGTCTACAACCATTGGTTGTGAAAATAAAGACTGTATAAGGACTTTTAAGGATATGGGTATATTATTGGGTTGAAACATAAGTAATGGCCGTATTTTTAATTTAAAAATTTTTATTTTAAAAAAACAAAAAACAATGAATTAGTTAATAATATCAGAGTTTTTGGACTTTCCCCATACACCCAAGATGTCGAATTATAGTCATTTGCCTACAACCTATTCGTTCGGCTAATTCGGGAGTGGTCTGACTCTCTTCATCAAACTCATTTGGTCGTCCGGAATGAGTTCGTCATCAAGGTCGAAATTTTCATTTTTTAATTTGGCAAACCAATTTCTTGCAACAACATAGTTGCAAAAGCAACAAATACAATATATATATATATATTACAAATTAAAGTCAGCCTCAAACTATACAGTACAAACAATACTTTAATCCCGACTCGTCGGGACCTCGGTGATTCCGGATTAGGGGTTTTTCCAGATTATAAATGAATTTAAATCTGGTAAGATGGCATGCAGAAATTATAAAATTAAAAATATGAAACCATAATTTATGACATAAAGAGCAATTATGATCTAAAGGGTACCAAAATTTACACACACACACACACAACACACACAAAAAAAAGCAGCTTAATATTTATTTGTTTACTTTATTAAACATTTCTTTCAATGTAAGTTGTTTAAGTTGCTTCACTTTATGTGCTAATACTTTCTCTTTAATTCTATAAACAGACATAATTTCTTGCTCAGTTACAAAGTTCCGCTGCTAAAGTCCTGTAATTGCTGTGCCGAGAATACCAACTAACTTGTCAATCAAAATTTTTTCATTTTCACTAACCTCTCTGTCAATTTCTTCATGCCTTTATGCATTTTTTTTGCAGCAATTCCACTTTTTTTTTGATGGACATCGAAACATGCTTTCACTTTGTAGATCCTTTTGCAGCTCCAGAATCGGAAACTCTTTTTGACATAATCGAAAGTTCAATAATTGTTATAAATTGTTTGTTGTTCGATAGTTTTTATAAAATTGCTCTAACAGTCTGCAAAAAATAATAAGCCGGATCCGATTAGAAGATTAAGGAACAACACAATCAGCAACATTAACTGAAATAGATAATTAGATAATTTTAGCCTAGCTTATACCAACCTTATACATTAAACGCACATGCGTAAACATATTATGTGCATGCATAAACATATTATGCGCATGCGTAAAGAAAGTTTGTAGCTTTGATGTCCAGATTATAGATAATTCCGGATTAAAGACTTTGTACTGTATTATAAAGAATGGCTATATTTAGTTTTTTAATGAAATTAAGATCTTCTGTAATCAACTTTAAAAATACTTTTATAATGAACAAAAAAAAAGGGGGGAGAGAGATGGCATTACTTTTATCTTTCAGATATTCATACACATAACATTTTTACAATACAAATACATTATATGTATTATAAGTATTTCTTTTTATTACTGTCAACATTCATCTGACTGACCTGAGTATTATAACAAGCATCACCAAATCCCAACCCAAATGCACAAACCATTGCAAGGAAGACACTGAAAGAGAAAAGAGATTAGCTATTTTATTACTGAGAAAATAAACAAATGATTTTATTTAGATTAATCATAGGTAAATTGTAGAGTCTCACAGGAAATTTTATTCAAACCAACTTAAAGATTTGTTATATAAACATAATATAAATTAAAGTTCAGTTTGCCAGATGTCTTTTGAATGATGTCAGATAACATGCAATAATACTTACATATTATCACAACCACCTAAGTAGATGTTGCCAAATTTTCAGAATGTGCCAAACTCTGGCAAACATGCCCATAACTATTCTTCAGGCAACCATGGTCTTATTCAGTCAAGCATGAGTCAATCATTCAGTCAAGCTACATCACCATGTTTGAATGCATTCTTTTGTTGTTGTTTTGTTAGTTTTAATGGTTTTTAGGAACAAACTGTGATATATTTCGCTTTAAACTTGATTTTAAAATATGGGCTTGTGAAATTCGCTAGCATTGGAAGACAGTCATTAAATTCCTCCAGGAATGCAGAGTTTTGCTGAAAATTTTCTAAAGGGTATGAGAAAGAGATGCATTTCATAGATTTCTGCTGTTGTGGAATTTCTTTAATTCACTGATTTTTTTTTTTTTTTTTTATTTTTTTTAAGTGAAAACAGACTGCTGTGTACTTGGACAGAAGAATATCACCAAAAAAATTCTAGAAAGATTTGAAGAAGGATGTATGCTTTTTTTTAAACGTATCATGTAATCCTTATTTAATAATTAAAATTTTATTTTAAATTGCTTAAGTATGTTTTCTTTTCATATGTTGATAATGTTTACCGACTTTCAATAAATATCGAGAGTTTGTGAATCTTTTATAAAAAAGTCACAAAACCCACAAACCTTTACCTTTTCAAGTAATTTTTATCTTTTCATGCGTAAAAAATCGCCAAATTGCATCAAAGTGGTTACAAAATATGTAAGAAGCCATGAAACTATTCAAGATGATGGGGAGATGATTATGGAGGTTCTGAAAAAATCAGGAAAGTAATAAAACCAAGATGATGCATTTGTGATTAAGACAGAGTTCACACGGAAAATCAATTTTTGATTAACCTGATTAAATGGAACAATTTCCTTAATCAAATATAAGAACTAGTTATCAAATGAAATATGAGCAACTGGATAATTCTGTGTATATACTAGAAAATATAGTGCACTAAAAAGAAAATATTATCTTGCTTATTATAGTGAATCTAATGAACAAATATATATATATCAGAAATATACATTTAATCTATTCCAAAAAATTCTTCATTTTGTAAAAGAAATTTGTAATAGTGCATCATTTGTAATAAAAATTACACATATTTTAAAATAAAAATGAGGAGCTCAGATTATCATGACATAAATAAAAATGTTTTATCAGTATAGTTATTTATTATACCATACAAACACACAATATAATGACTCATTAACTATAGTATTTATTTCTGAAGGACAGCTACACTTCTAAAAACAGGGATTGAACAGTTACATTTTTAAACAGAAGAGAGCAGAACATCTCACTATCAGGTAGAATACAAGTTATGATTTTATAAAATCAGCAGTTATCTACATATCAGTACAACTTTTCTGCAAGAAAAAGACGCTAAAACTAATTATTTGAGAGAACTGATCTATTTATCATTATATTTTTTTACTTTTTGGAAAAAGAAATCATAATTTCTCTGACTTTTTAGGGGAATAGGAACTTTACAAGAGAATTTATATGATCAAACCATGAGGTTCAATAAATAATTCCTGTTGTTCAAACAGAATTTGAATAGAAAGAATCAGAAATGGCAACTCTATTCAAATTCTGTTAAAAAATGATAGATACAATCAAAGCATCGAACAGACAAATGAAATCAGATATCTGATAATCATTCAGAATTTAGGTTGCACAAGTTCTAACTTTTCAACTAATTTTAGAACATAATTTGTTCAACACAATTTTAAATCTTTTTAAGGCAGCAGCATTAGAATGGAAATCTCAATGGCAATTTTTCTGAATCATCATTTCTTGAAATTTCTTGTCCCGCAGGACTTTATTTATGAGTATTATAAATAAAAATAGAAATATTTCTGTACAAAATAGTGAATTATAAAACAAATAATTGCAAATGTTCGTATATTAGTTAATCTTTTCAAATGATATTTGCACTGTAGGGACATTAGGTATATTTTTGGAAGCAGGCAAGATGAAAAATGAACAATCACCTTCGCCGGAAATCGAACTACGGACCTCTAGAATACTGACCCAGTGTGCATAACCACTACACCCCGAAGGCGGGAGAAATACCTTATAGCACTCCATAAATTCAAGTATGTGTATATAGAATGATTATAATTAAAGTTCCACTTTCAAAAGGCTGTAAAAGAATGACTGGTTAGAATGATCTGAATATACATGAAGCAATGGGAATTCATCTGATGAAAATAGTTCAAAATTTTATCAATAGATGGCACTGTATTTATCCTAATAGGCTGACTAAAAGACGTGACATGGGCACCACATATTACACTTACTAAAAACATGGAATACGTGCAATTCCCACTATTCTGCATATTAGAAGCTCTTCATGATTCTGTTAATGAAGGATCAGGCTCTGCTTGTGAAGCTTTTTTATAAGAATGGATACAGTGTTTTAATTGCTCTGAAGAAATTTGTGACATTAATGGGTGTACGATGTGGATCTGGGTCGGATGTCTGTCAAGGGACTTGACAATTTGTAAATCCAAAGAGACTGGTTCATTTCACACGAGATCTGGCAGAGGGAGGAAAGCAATTGCTTCAATGTCAGAAGAAGATGTGGCTATAGCTTTGTAAGAAGAGATGAGAAGTGATGTGGGAATCCTCAGTGCAAAGGGAATCAATTGCTTGATCTTTAGACATGCCTATCAGCTTGGCTTATAAAATTTTATGAAACATCCTACAATGCTATCCGTTCCAAATTACACACATTCAAGAGTTGCTTCCTGCCAACCTGCCAATATGATGAACTTTTGCCATTACAATTTCTTGCTTCGATTGAAGTGGATAATGCATGAACAATGAACATTTTGTGGACAGACAAAGCCCCATTTCTAATATTCTGTCAATACTCAAAATGGCAGACAGTAGACCAAAGCCACAGCTTATACCTCTTAATGTCTGGAATGTTTTCAGGACAGTTGAAACATACTCACCATTCTTGTAAAAAAGCATTACAAGCAGAGCCCTATCCTTTATTAACAGAGTCATGATGAGCACTAAGACTAATATGTGGTATGCATGCCGCCACATCTTTCAGTTAGCCCATTATGACAAACATTACCTATTGGTAAAATATTGAACAATTTTTTTTTTCTTTGGCGAGGCAGATTCCCATTGTTTCACATATATTGAGGTCAAATTTTATGTTACTCTGACCAGTGGTCTTTTTTTTCAAAGGAATTTAAAAGTGGAATTTTAGTTATAATCATGCTGTGTACAAAGACTTAAAAATTAGTATTTCAAAAACACATTACCTGCTTTGTATTACTGGTGGTTTCTTTGCTAGATAAAGAGTTGAATCTGAAGGGAGGTTTATATAAATCAGATAGAAAGTAACAATGTGGCACAAGAAGCCTAGCAGAACAACTGGATCTCTTCCATACTTGTTTGTTTTCTTACCCAATATTCCAAAAATAGCACCACCTGAAGACATTAAATAAAATTATTTACTCAAATAGTGTTAAAATACAATAAAGTAAAAAAAAAAAAAAAAAAAAAAAAACGCAAACATTTACCAAAAAAAAAAAGTTCTAATTAGGTTATCTAAATATCTTAATGATGTAGATTAATAATCATTTCTAAGATGGTAATCAAGGAAAATAATAATAAGATATCACATGGTAAAATGGCATCAAAATTCAAATAGTAATGATAGAGTTTAAAAGAATTCAGAGGTGACTGTGATCCCCTTTTAGAAATTCTGAAAATTACCATGGAGTAAAAACCCAGCATGATTTCAAATAGTTCAGTTTTAAAATTTATTACAAATTAATACATATGCTTACTCTATTATTTCAACATCCTACTTTTTTGATTTCTAAACATTTTTGCAAATAACTTTGAAACTTTAATAATAAATTTTAGCATCCTTTCTTTTTGAGAGGGGGAATGACGCATTTTTATTTTTCTTTGCTAACAATTTAAAGCTCAGTATGATCAGAAAGACATTTTGATGCAGACAGTAGCTTAAACATTTACGGTGGCTTTAATATTATTAGATTAGAACTTGAAGTATGGATATCAGCAGATATTGGAGATGAGAAATTAGAATATAAAGAAATAGGATATAAAGAATTTTAGTCAGCTTTCCAATTATTCTCTAAGTTATCCCCACAACCTTTACCAATACGGTCTTCAAATGGATTTTCTACCCTAATAGCTACACATGCATTTTTGTATAATGAAAATAAACAATATTTTATAGTCTCCACAACTAGACTATTAGAGCTGAAGGATGTTCTACATTCTATCATATTATTAGCTGTGTGATTAAATGAACATTTGACAAGTGGGTTCATAGAAGAAAGTTAAAACAGATTTAATCAATTTCATTGATACTAGGTATTTTCGTTTTCCATATTCTCTGAGCCCCAAAGTTCAATATGAGTTGCTTTTGTTTCTGCACAACACAACTATCTAATGTATTTGATGTTACGTGTTTATATAGTTAAAAGTTAAAGAGTTTCAGTTAAAGAGTTTCGAGTTTATGTAATCTCTGGATGATATATTTTATTTAATAAAATTTGAGAAAGATGACGAGTTAATATTTCACAAATCCAAAAATTTCAGATCTGAAAAAGTTTAAAAAAAAAAAAAATAAAAAAAAGAAAGAAGAAGAATTCCAGTAATATCTGGACCACAATCATTCCTGGGAATTAATATAAATATGAACAGGGAAATGTTTCTTTTATATACAAGAATGCCAGTAAACTACAGGGTGGGCCAAATAAGACCTACCAGTGTTAAACAGAAATAACTTTTTTTATTTTTTGATATAATTGTTTTTTTTCTTTTTGTATGTTATAACTGAATTCTTGGAAACTTATTACGAAACCATACAGCACAAAACAACGTGTTAAAATTATAGAGTTTTTCTATTCTTGTCAATGATCAATTGTTATGATGCAATGTAAATATCGGCAATATTTTAAAATTTAAGTGTACTGTTTGGTGCGGTGTTATGACCGGTAGAGTTATCAGTCCATATTTCTTCGAGAATGAGGATGGAACAACAGAAACGAATTCCGGAGCTTCTTACAGAACAATGATTGAAAACTTTTTGCGGCCAATGGCGGAGCAGAATCCTTTTTTTATGGGGATATTTAAAAGACAAAGTGTCTGTTAATAAACCAGAGACTATTAGACAGATAAAGCAGAATATTCGAGATGAAATACTGAGCCTTCAACCAGAAATATTGCATGGTGTAATGGAAAACGCGTTAAAAAGAGCCAATCTCTGTATCGAGAAAAATGGTGGACATTTGTCTAATGTCATACTTCATACATAATTTCCAGAAAATATATTTAATATATAAAAAACATTAATCAAAATAAATGATTATTACAAGAGTTATCCATGTTTAACATTAGTAGGTCTTATTTGGCCCACCCAGTAAAAATATCATTCAAATACAAAACAAGTTTCAGATACTGAGTAAACCAATTTAATCATAAACAATATGATAAAACTTTTAGAATACATTGCTGCATATTTATGTATTATTAAAACTCATGAAAAAGAAATAATATATGTCTAATGAATATTTGAACTGCATGACCTTAAAAAATTAGCTCAAAATTTTAGAAATGTAATTGACAAACCTGTAATTTCTCCAGCACCTATACAAATTCCAGAGATTCCAACAAATTTTACAGCATCTCTTCCAAACTGTCTTGTGAAACCAATACCTGTTCCATACACACCACTGAAAAATGATAATTCGATACCTGTAAAAAAATGCTTTTAAATTGTGTTTCTTTAAATAAAAATTTAAAAAATTGCAAAAGAAGTTAATTCTTTTAAATAAAAAAAAACTTTAGTATTTTTCATTTGTTGGAGTTCAAACATTCATGAATTCCATTTTAAGTGAAATTATGACCTTTCCCAGAAAGAAAATTAACATTAGAACCCTGCTGAAAATTATTCCATTAAAGTAAGTTACTTCATAAAGTATAGCTTATGTATCCACTAAAAGAATTTTCACATGCAAAGGAAAGGATTGAGGAGATTGTATTTATTGTATTTATCCATGCAAATGTAAAGTACCCATCTAAAATATATCTTATGTCATTATTGTCTGTAATGCAAATTATGCACCATTAATATGTAACTATTATAAATGCTGCAACGTAAACAAATGCCCGAGCATGGTGTTAGTGTGTCCCGTGAGAGTGCACTTCCACAGATGGTTAGCTCTGTGGGACGATACCAATTTTGTCCATAGTGATGTTTTGATGCCCCCTGTACTTGTTTCTGCCTGTCGATGCACAGAAACTCATATCTTAATATGTTTGTATCAACAGTAAAATAATATATTTGTCTTTCATGCTCCACCTGTTTAGCACTACACGTGCATTAATAGTATACAATAAACTGTATTATTTATGTATATTTAAAGCATATTAATATGTTATTTATTCAAAGTAATGAGTAGATAGTTTTATTATGTATTTGTGGAACCTGTATATTAACTGCATATCCACAGCACCTGTACAATCCTTGTTTAGCAGTGTAATTGTAATTTGTCAATTAACTACCGATGGGGCTTCTTTCAGGGCCCTGTGTGAGGCATAGTTTCTAAATAGTGCAGAATGAGATATGTACCTACTTATCACTGGAGGCCACCAAGTATCCATGTCTTTTCTCATTTACCTACATACTTACTTGCTCGAATATATTTGTTGTTACTCACTATTTTTAATGATGTATTTGTCATCAAGCCTTTTTTCTGAGACATATATTTTAATATTTTTGCATTGTTTAGCCTTACATCATATTGATACATTCCATAGGTTGATTTGTATAAATTTTGTTCTGGTACTTTAATATGTAGCAATGTTATAAAAATCAAATTTATAACCAAATCATTTTAGGTTAATTGAATGCAGAACTAAAGTAAAATATAAAATACATAAAGACTAGGGCAGTTTCTAATCATAAAATTTCTTCTGCGACAAATTATGGGATAAAACAGATCAAAATATACATTTTATAGTAAAAAAATTTTTTTTAAATATCAAATAAGCATAAAAATAAATAAAATAATTAATAAACTAAAATAAAAATATTTAAAAATCTGTTTTAAATTTATACTACAGAAAATACTAATGTAAATTTATACAAAAAGAAAATGATCATAAAAATTGACACCCATGCTGTATGCAACATTTACATCCATGCCTGTATCCAGTGCAGGATTTACCTACAAGCTACATAAGCTATAGCTTATGGGGGCCTCCCAAAAAATTAAAATATAGTATAAATTTAGTATTAAAATATAGTATAACAGACATAAAGGGCCCCATATCTCTAACTTAGGGCCTTATCAAATCTAAATCTGGCTTGTATCGAGATCCTGTTTGTATCGAGATGTTCTTCAAGCCCAACATAGAAAGAATATGTCTCCATTTCAGGAGTTCTTGCATTTCGTATGCAACTTGCAACATGCTTCCTGATATCAGTATTCTCATTTCATGAAACTGATGTAATATGATGCAATGTTAATTATGATAACCCTTGCACTATTATTAAGTTAAAAAAACTGTCATGATAGTCCTTTGAATTCAAATGTTTTCAAAACTCCACTACTTGAGAAATATTTAAGGCATAATCATTGCACTGCTCCTTCACCTAATTTGGTACATTCCATATATAAGATACATGAGTATTTGCTCAGTATCCATAAATCCACCAATCATAGAAGGGATCCGCATTGTAACTAATGGATGTAAATGGCTAACTTATAAAGTATTTTTTTGGAATCTCCTGCTTCAACTCTTATCATAATTGATATATTCAAAAAACGTTTTAGTGTATTCTATCACCCCTTAAAGTTTGTCCCATTAATTTAAAAACACCCAGCAATTTTCTAAAGCTTTATTAACAGGTAACACCAGAAGGAATACATTTAAAAATTTTTGGTATAAATCCAATCAAATAATTCACCAATTCTTAAATTAAAATTTTTATTAAATTTTTATAAGTGAAGCTCTTACTTGGGTGTGGTTTATTTGATTATGGCAAAGCACATGAGGGCAATTTATCTAAGGGAAGGGATGGCTTTGAAATTATGTCAGGTCCATCTATTATTTAAAGCCAAGAAATATAAATTTCACACAGTACAGTAATTCAATAATGGGATTGTATATTTTTGAAAATTTTTGCAAGGATGAGTGGTCAAAACTATGCTGCAATTTGAAAACTCATATACCACTTGACAGAGCATACCATTTTTATATGACTGAAGTATGTAATTTTTAATTTTGTATTCACTATTTTGCCATTATTCCATTATTTTCCTTAAAAAAGAAAAAAATACGGTATCATTACTGCATTCAGTACTATTTGCTATTGACATGCTTCTACCAAGGAGAGGAATTTCAAGTAAGTGACATAAAGAAATTAAGAGCACAAAGCTTTTTTTGATATAATATTAGTTACTAAGGCTTATTTGATTTCAATAATAGTATGTAATATTATAATTAAATATGAATTAATAAATAAAATATTGTCAAAGACAATTATGTCAATACAAAAGACATTAAAAAAACTTGAAAATGATATCAAGCTTTAAAAAGAATGCATTTAAAAAAAATTAATTACATACATCAAATGCACAAATATAAAAACTTACCAGTGTATATGAATGTAATAGCAAGAAGTATCATTTCTTTGGATTTAAACAAAGTAAAGGCCTTTTCTGAAAATGAAAGTAGTATTAAAAAGAAGAAAAAAATTAAACAAAATACAACAGTAAATTTTTTCTCATATTCAGTCTCAGAAATGCTTAAATAAGGCAATTTTTTTTTTTATAAAATAAGCAAATTATTATTACCACACTTTACTGCTAATTTCATTTTTCATGTATAATGACTGAAAAACTTGCAAATACTATATTTTAAAAATTTTAATACAATCAAGAAATTTAATTAATTTCAATACAGCTTATGAGAGGATATGTTTTCTACCATTAAAAATTAATTAATAATTTGGGAGCCCCCCTTGCAGTGTGGGTTAATTAATGATTTGAGAGCTCCTTGAAAGGCAGGATTATAATTTATCACATAAATTTGCCTCTGCATGCAATACACAACTTAAGTTATATAACTTTAATAATAGGGGAAATTTCCATTTATTAAATAATATAAACTGTTATATTATTGTAGTTTATTTTAAACTTTATTGTACTTTATTTTAATATAACCGACATCAAATCATAACATTTTGTTGAGAGTTTTAAGGTTTAATGTTAAGAAATTAGCTATTATGGTTTAATCTTTATTGTAACTTCTTTCTGTAGTCCTCATCAGAATGCAAATATGTTATTGTGTATTTAAGCTCAGGGTTTGAATGTTTAGAGATAGAGCTTCTGGCTGTTACATAATATTACCAAATCTGCCTAAGTTTATTTCCAGCTTTAACTTCTTGCCTGTTGACGTTTATGTATCACTACTTATCTTGGAACAGCTTATGTAGTTTATGGTGGGCGTAGTCTCCGATTACATTAAATGCATTTTGAATTTAATTTTATCTTGTTCTAATTTAAATATCCACAAGTAGCGGAGGTTCACCTGTTGCACAAGCGGTGCCTTTCTATTCAATTAAGAATTAAATAAAAATGTTATTTTAACTTTTTTAAAACTTTGTTATTTTCTATAGACTAAAGCCATAACTCACTTCCAGTCTAGTAGGATCTATTGACACAAGTTTCAAGATATAGAGAAACCCTCCAGAGTTTTAAAAATACATTCGCTAATGTTATAGAACTGTGTTTAAAAACTTTTAAAGTTGCATTGAATAATGCTTTAGAATTCTTTTCATTGTATTAGGAAATAAAAACATACATAGTTTTTTTTATTACATTAATGGCATAGTTTCTTTAATTTATAATAATTCCTGAATTAGAGTTGTAATAACTCCTAGTTATAAAAATAAATTTATTATTTGAAAATCTCTTATTGAAAGGAGATCTTATCAAATATGATATTAACTATTCGAGTGGAATAGTAAATTATTTAATATGCTTTTAAATTACTATTTAATTATTTAATGCATCATTTATTTCTTGAATATGCATTCTATTTTAAGGACTTTAATGACATAACTTAAGGACTGCATGTATTGTATTTATTTATATAGGTAGTCCATAAACGATTTATACAGCCAATCTGGGGTAGCAAATGAGATTTCAGAATCTGGAGTCTTGAAATCAGATCTGTATGTAACTTGGATCTCTAATGACACATGAAATATACGGTAATAGTAATATAATGATTAATATTTGGCAAAAATGATATGATGCAAAAATAACTATAATACCCCTGCACTGTGATAGCAAATTACAAAAACTAACTTTTTCAATTCAAATGAACAGCACACAGAAATGGACTTCCAGAGAAAGTTTAGAAAGAAGATAGAAGAAAGAAAGAAAGAATTTACTTTTACACAAATTTAATGTTGCTTTAACACCTTACTACCTCAGAGAACATTTTTAAGACAAGAAGATGACTAACATTAAATAGAAGATGATGTTGATAATGATGTTAGAGAACATAAAATGGGTTCTGAAGTATCCACTCTCACAACAATAAGACTTTCAAAATCTAACAGGAAAAGACAGGCGAGATGAAAATGCAAAGTGATTATACAAACTATGAAATTACAGTGTGTGTTTACAAATTCTAGGACAATTTCAGAGCATAATTAATGTTTAAAATAAAAGTGCATTTTTTTTTTAAATGCCTGATCTGATATCCTTTTGTCCAGAGTATAAGTCTGCATCAATGATTTCCTTGATAGAAGGGCCTTTTCTAAAATTTCCAGGGGTACTTATTTCCTTCCACTATTTCTGTTCCCAGAGTCCATGAATCGTAGTGGTCTACACTTAGAAGGAGCTCTGTTTGAAAACACATAGCCACAATAGCCCAGCAATAAAACAAGGGACATCACAGGAGTACACTGAAAAGCTATGCATGCAATGCTGTGTCAAATTTCATTTTTCAAGGAATGCAGAAGTACATTTCAAAGTATGGCTTGTTGCTTTGTCTTCATAAAGTTTCACTCACTGAAAGTCACTGCGATAAAGAAATGGAATTTCTTCTGTAAATATAGGATGCAAAACTTTCTCTTGACAGTGCACTCAGTTGATTTTAACATTTATTTCTACACTTTTTATTTAAATTTCCCACTGAAAGATAATCTTGTGACAATCATAAACCCCTTGCTGAAACATTTTTTGCATTGATGGAACCAGGTTTGTACCTTCTATTCATTTTCGATGTAAAATAGACCTTTTTTTTTTAATTGTAGTCACTTAGTTAAACTCATGATCTATCTAGAGTAAAAAAATATTTCCATTAATAGCTTTCATACATAGTTCTACAAATTGTTCTCAGTTGAGGCAGAAACTTGGCAAAACTGGTGCAGAATATGTTTAGCTTTTTTCAGTTGTAAATTTGGTTTATTATTTTATTTATTGTCATTACAAACTTCTATCATGCATTTAAAGACTTTACAACTGATTTTTGTGATGACGGATTTATTTTGCTCCTAGAAACTTTAATACCATGTACTTCACAACATTTTTTAATTATGGAATAGGAATATTACGCTTTGAAAAAGCACAAAAAGCCTACCCTTCAAAACAAAGTGGTGACATTTTGAGAGAGAAATATATTTAAAAGTAGCAGAGAAATTTCTCATTTCAAATAGTAAGGTGTTGTTAGAAATTTTTATTCCAAAACAATTGCTTTTTTTTATTCTTTATTGAAATTTTTACAAAAATGTATGAACCCCCTCTGTAATTAAATGTCATGCAAATGGACATAATATGCCATGCAAGTTTGTTTACACATGCAAAAGACACCCTTCTTGAATTGCTACCATTGGGTATTCCAAACTCAATCATAGAACATACAATCAAGAAATAATCAGTATTATAATTCATAGAAACAGTGGCGTAGCTAAGGAGGGGCAAGTGAGGACATCTGTCCCCGGGTGCAGCATCCAGGGGTGCCAAACTGATGGTACAAAATTTTAGAATGAAACTTTTTTCACTCTTGGCACACAGAAAGTAGCACAAGATCTTCAGTTTTCTCTGGATGCTGAAAACCGTACCTACGCCTCTGCATAGAAAAATACTATTTACAGTTTACCTGTATTTTCAACTAGTTTAATCTGGAGAAAAGATTTTTTAGTTGCTGTATATTAAATCCTACCATATTCATATAAAAAAAAGACTACAATATAAATAGCAGAAGAATAAATCTTATTATAAATGAAGAAACTAGATTACAAATGAATATGCTATCTGCACCAAACTGACAGCATGGCCTTCCTCTGATGCAATTTAGTTTTCAATATGATTCGTGCTGATTCATCATGCTTGGATCATTTATTCAATTCATGTTAATGTAGGGGATCCCTTTTTCATCAGTGATAATTCGTTAACAACATGTTCCTTTTCTTTTTGTAATTTTGGTACACAGTTTTGTTTTACGCTGATGGTCTGTGATAATAATTTTCCCATTGTTTCATAACAAACAAATTTTATTTTAGACAGAACTCAATTAATCCACTACAACGTTATTATGCTTTGGTTAATTAGGAGTTGACAATATTTTATTCTTTTCTACCCTCAACTGAAAGCTTGTTTTGGGGAAGGAGGGGTGATTGCAAAAAAATTAATGTATCACATACAATAATTGAAAATTGCACAAGATATCTTGGGCTTATTAAAAAGCTTGATATTTGGGTTCTGCATGAATTTAAAGAAATTCACTTACAGAACAGAAATTCACTTAACACAATGAATCAGTATTTGCCATACGCATTTTAAACGGATCATCTACATAACATTAATCGAAAAAATTTTCCAAGCATGACGAATCAGCTCAAATCATATTGAAAGATAAATTGCACCAAAGAAAGACCATGCTGTCAATTTGGTGGGATTACAAAGATGTTGTGTATTTTGAGCTGCTTTCAATGAATCAAACAATCAACTCAGATGTTTACTGCCAATAATTTATGAAATTGGAGAAAGCAATAGAGTGAAAAAGCCAGAATTGGCAAAAAGCCAAGGAATTGTGTTCCACCACGATAATGTGAGGCCTCACACGTCTTTAGTAACACATATGAAATTACTGGAGCTCGGTTGGGAAGTAATGTTGCATTCCCCATAAAGACACAACTGTGTATAAGAAGTTTAACACAATATCTAAACAAATCAAAATTAAAATAAGAATTCATAATAGAACAAACTCGAAAAAAATGCAAAAGGGAAAATATACAAAATTATAAAAATATAAAAATTAATTTCCTTTTATTAAAACTCCAATTCAGAATTCATCAGGGTAAAATTAAAGCTTCATAAGAGACAATTAATATGTTTCGAGAACATGTTTCGTTCTCTTGGTTCATTTGAAATCAAAAACCGAAAAAAGATTCAATTAAATTTTCATTTAAGACATTAAAATTCATGTAAAACCAACGCACAGATATCCTGAAGAGATTTTCTAAAAATGTGGCTAAACTGAGATATTTGTTTAAAATATGGATAGATTTATTAATACATAAGCAACATTTCATCTCAAAACTTGGAAAAGAATTTTTTTAAAGGATTTTATCAAAATTCCAGGGATCTGCCTTTTTAATTCTGATAAAATAACTATTATATGAATGAGAAAAAGTAGTTACAGATACCATGCTGTGACTTTTTTCATAATTTCAACATACTGTCTATAAACCGAATTTTTCTTTTCTCGTTTATCTGCTTATACCTAAATGGTTAATAAATATTCTTCTTTCATTTAAGTAAAAAAGGTTAAAGTTTTTTACCCCTGTTTTAAAGCAACCATTTGAAAAGTATAAAATACCTCTTTATGGAGAAAGACAATGCTTTAATTATGCAAAAAAATTACTTACTAAGTTCCACCAATGCTCCAACATTTTCTGACCCAGTACTAGATAAGAAATATTAAAACATTTTTTAATAATACATATATTTTATTATACAGAGTCTTAGTTAAAAAGAAATACAAAGTACATAAAGAAGTAACATTGCAATGTGTAATCAATGGCATGAAATTAAAATGAATGACACATATCCTGAATAACAAGTTTTATTTATTACCTAGACAAAAAAGTAAATTAAAAAAAAAAAATAATTTTCCTGAAATTTTATTTTCACACAATTAATGGTTGTTCCATCCCATCCTATTGTTGTAACATTCATCTCATAAGCGGGTGCTGCAACATCCCCAAACCAGCAGAATCTCTGTAGACCGCAAGCAGAGTGGTTGTTCCTTTAGGCTCCTATGTCATCTTTTGTAATAGCCATCAGTGCTAGCAAGAGCGTACAGTTTTGATCCTTAAGGCCCCTGTGCCTTTCTATTGATGAATAAAATTTTATAATTGATTACAGTCAATCATTCTTTCGACAGATCTCACTCTCTTAACAATGGTTAAGCTTGAATATGAATATGATGAGTTAACAATTATACTAAAAAAAAGGTAACTCTATTTTGATCTAAATATTTGCAAGAAACATTTTAGGTATGAATGCCTATTAACACAATCAAAATTACTCAAACTTTATCTCTGAATTCGTATGTTGCACAATGTTAATCACAGCTGTACCATAACATGGGCTCTTGTAAGTATCCAAGATATTTGACAGTTTGAGTAAAAATATTCATAAATATTACTCATGCTAAGAATACAATTTAAAATTTTATTCCTGATAAAATTTATGAACAACATTTAGACTTAAAAATTACATTACTGTGTAGATATATGATTTTAAAAACGAATATATTTCATTGTACAAGCACTTTATATAATGCTGTGTGTTACAAATTCAAAGAGATCTTCTTAGGCCAGATGAAGAGGGAAACTTGAATATTTATTGAGATAAATAACAGTTGACATAACAACAAGAGGAACAATTTTAAGTAACCCTGGAAAGGAGAAAAGACACAGATAGGGCAGAATTCTCTGTAACAAAGAATAATATCATAGATTACCAAAGTCACCATTAAGCCCAAAGCAGCAATCACCACCATAAGTTAAAAGTGTGAACATGCCAAAAAACTTGATCCAACCACTACTTTATTCACTGACTGACTCCAGCATTCAATGCGGACAACATTTATAGGTTTGTTGAAAGAGAGAGACTAAGCACATCTGGAGCTTTAAAAAAGGTAATTTCTAAGGCTTTTAAAATATGTAAGCACAGCTACTGGTATAATATTCCACCCAGCATCATTAAATATTGAGGCTACATAAACACATTCATGAAAGCAGCTATTTAATCTAGAAACCTACTATTCAAACAAATGCTGGAAGACATGTGTTCATAAAAATAATTTCTTATCCTGCCACACATCACTAGATATGATCTCAGAGTTAAAAGATATATAATAAACATGAAATAAAAAGAGCATATGCTAAGTGGCTACAAATTTAAAATTAAATAAAACACATAATAAATAAAATTACTACACAGATTAAAAAATGCATAAAACTTAAATTACAAACAAATGAAAAATTTACAATAGTATATTTCATTACGAAGTAGATGTTTACCAACATATTTTATATCAGAATGAGTATCTGTTCAGCATCTAGATTTTAGAATGATATCCAAACTGAAATAGTCAAATAGTGGCAAAAACGTAACTTTTATCAAATCTTTAAAAGATCATCATGGATTAAAATAATCAGTAAAAAGTAAAAGGTTACTCATATCATTTTACAATAACTATATTTATTTGCCATTCACTAGAATTATATCAAAATTACACCTAATACTCTTGAAGATTTTCTATGTAACTGCTAATAACATTTCTAAAAACGTAAATATCTTTATCTTTATATGCCACAAAACATGTTTTGAAAATCGGAATAAAAAGAACTCAGAAGTATTTGTACAACCAAGGCATTTTAGAATAACTGAGGGAACGTCTCAGTGCACTGCACTCACAGTAAAAATATCTAAAACTATTATTTCACTTACTGCTTGCAATTTCTATATAGAGTAGGAGAAATGGAAGAAAAGAGGAATCCACAAACTCATTGTATTGTCAAACAGAATTTATAACCCACTATATAACAGTTCTCATTACAATTAATAAAAGATTTACCCACAATATAATAGTGTTCTCATTATATATTTGCTTTTCTTTGTTCCTTTTTTAAAAAGACTAATTAGAACTGATCACATAATCTTCCCTAATTGTTTAAATCAATGGTCTGAAACTCAGATTGTATGTGGATTGAATGCTCAATATAAAAGTAATTAATGGGACAGAACATTTTATAACAAAATTTAAAGACATTTTTATCAAAAAGAAAAATAATAAAATAAAATAAACTTTAATTTTCACTTATTGAATATTTACCAAAACATGCATAAGCAACAATAATAACATCACGAAGGAAGAAATTCAAATTTATATTATATTTATTTTCTATCTGAAGTCTTACAGAAACTGCAAAAAATTTGTTGGTCAGACTTAGTAATTCAAAAGCACTGACATGTAAATATTAAATTTTAGACAGACATTTATATCAAGTAAGCTCCACAGTTTAAATAATTGATTAAATAATTTATGTTTAACCAGAAAACTAGAAATTTCAGAATATTGAAGCACCATCAGCTATAGGATGACAAACTAAATACAAGTAGACAGTAACAAACCTGCAAACTATTCATTATATCATTTCTCTTTTAATAGCAATCATGCACATAAGCTTAGTCCATATCTTTATGTCTCTAAAACTATAAGCACTGTCTTTGCAACAAATATACAATTAAAATGCATTTGTGGGCCACATAAAATCACTTCAGGGGCCACATGCGGTCTGTGAATTTGAGACCACTGGTTTATATAATTAAAAACAAAATTTAATTCTTGGCAGAATGAAATTATACCTGGTAAGGTCTGTGAGTGTAGCCGAATCACTTGTGCTACTTCTTAGGCACAGTAAAAGTGAAACACCTGCCAATGAAATACCAAGAAGTACCCCATATACAACAAATCTAGAACGTTCATCGATTTCAGACAGACCTTGGAACTGAAAATACACAAAGATGTTTCCAAATAACAAGCTGAAAGAATAAAGAAAGTACACATTAAAGAAGTTTTTTAAATATAAGAAAACAAAAACATATATATATATATATAAATATATATATGTAAATAAATAAATAAATAAAATAAAAATAAAAAAAAATAACTAAGGAATTAAAACAAAGAGAATGTACATTCATTCAAACTGTATGCATAAACAGACAAAATTTTCAATCACAATTTTAGTTTCAATAATGGTAGAAGTGTACAGTATAATAATATATATATATATTAATGCTGCTACAAATATATCAGTAAATAAGAAAATTTAATGTAGGCTTTTTAAAAAATCAGAAAGGATGAAAGGTAAGTGGGATCTAAAAGTATCAGAGATTTTAAATCCAGATAATGTCTGAGAAAGGGAATCTCTTATTAAAATACAGAACAGGCGAAGAAATTCTGCTGTCCAAACAGATTTGTTCATTAGAAAAGTTTAATTCCTGTATGATTTAATAAACACATTTTAATTTGACTACCTGCATTATTTTTTAAACTTAGCTTGGTGTTAAAACAGCTAAAATAAGAAGATGCCATCATTAAAAGATAAAACTAAAACTATAAAAAAAAATTAATAAGAATACAAATTTGATAAAAGTAGAATTGATGAAAAAAATGGATATTCTTACATTAGTAATGAAAATAAAAATTTCTGAAATAAGCAAAGTTGATGAAGGAACAGAAACTTGAGGGAAATCTGCTTCAAACAGTAGAATGTTTAAGGGAGAAAATTTCCTGAGATTCAAGGCATATTTTCCTGAAGTTTTACATTCAATAACTTGCATCAAATATTACTGCAAATGCACTTATTCTGAAGGAAAAGGGCAAAAGAAATAGCATTGCATTTAAATGTGAAGGCTGATTATATTTTCAACTGAACGGTTGCATAAATTTAAATTACACCCCAGAACCTTATGTCTTATCAAAAAAATACAAAGATGTTCAAGTTGAATCTGTCCAAAATTCTTCGAAGAACTGACATACAGAAGTGAAAGGTTACAAGCTGGAACCCATTTTTAATGTTAATGTAATAAGCACAGTGAATGGCGGGAGGTGAAGAGGATGATCTGCTTTGAGCGAACATAATGGTTAGTTATACAGATCATGGAAGCTGAATGAACTCAGATTTTTTACATTACAGCTGCGCTTACTACAGTTGTCAGCCTAATGGAAAGGATGACTTTGAGAAAGATTTAAATTCTCCACAAGATGCTTGAAAAGCTCAAGCAAAGATAATTTCATCCCAGATTGAACTACTAGTATCCAGTGATCTCATGCATGCAATCACTGGTGAGGCGAAAATGACAAGATTTTGAATTGTCATATGAAACTGAATACAGGAAACAAGCATTTTTACACTAGACATAGTACAGAAAGAAATCAAAACATGATTTCAACAACTTCATGTTTTAGCTAAGCTTTATTTACTTCCAACAAAATTTTTGAATAAAGTTAAAATCTTGGTTAAATTACAACACTAATAAGGAAGGATTCCTAGCTAAGACAAATACAAATTTCAAGTATTTCTGTTATTGCTGGTTACGGCAAAACACAGATATGATACGGTTTATTCCTTTGAACTTTTACAATTTATAATAAAATACAAAACTGAATATTGTTAGGTACTTATATATTAACACAGCCACCTTAGTGATTTTTTGCAGACGGAAAGGTAAAGGTTACTTAATGGGTGAAAGTTAGTGATCTTTGGAATGTTTTTAGAAGGATTCCCAGACTACTGATATTAATCTAAAGCCAGAAAACATCACTTACGTATGAAAAGAACCATTTAACAACTTAAAATACAAATTTTAATAATTTTAATTATCAAATAAAGATTACATGATACATAACAAAAATAAAACACTTACACCAAATCTTTCTGTAATCCTTTTGTGCTATTTTTTCCCAAGTACACACAGCAATCTGTTTATGTTTAAAAAAACATGAGAACTACAGAGACTCAGCATCACTCAAAGCTTGGCAGCATTGGCTATTTACCAAATGCATCTTCTCATTGTTCTTTTTAGCGATTTTGTGGCATAATTCTGTATTTCTGCAAAAATTTTATTGCAGTTTCTCCCATTGCTGGGAAATTCCATAAGCCTGCGTTTTAAAATTAAGTTTAAGGCAAAAATTATCATGATTGGTTTATAAAAACCACTGAAACACGGCATAAAACAAAAAGAACACATGTGAAAATGGCAACGTTTCTTGACTAAAGGATTGTTATCAGCATACTTGCCTGAAGAATGATAATGTGCATGGCTGCCAGAATTTTGTAAATTCTGAAAATTTAGTGCTTTCTAATAAGGTGGTTGCGATAACACTAAAGTACCTATTGTTTGTTATACATTACCAAGAATTTTTCTCATAATTACCGTAAGTATCACTTTTTGTGAGAAGAATTTGCCTAAATACATATCAATTAAGAGCCTCTTAGACTTAAGGATGAAAGAACACCTCCATTTATTTTAAGAAATCATACAGTACTGTCTCCAAAACAACTTAATGAAACAAATTTCAAGAATGTCATCAATGATACTAGTAACAGGAAAACACACAAAGAGCGATTTAGAATGCCAGAATTAAGGTTTTATTTCTAAAATAAATGCAGAAATTTTATTTATTTCCTTATAAGTCACTCTGATATTTTATAGATTTTTTAAAATGCATTGAGAGTGGCGAAAAATGCTGTGGCTATGCCACTGTATGTAACTGGCTCTTTTTTGTTATGCCTACCAAAAGTTAGCCGTCAGAGATATTCCAGATAGCAGACTCAAGAAGAGTGAAAATTGCCTCACAGTTCACTATACATGTAAATATTGATGGAACCAAAAAATGAGGATAACTATAGTCTTTTAGCAATGATTGAAAAAACACAGAGAGTCACAGATATTTTTGCAAAATGGTTCAAGAAAATCAAGAAGGCAATAAATAAAAAATTTAAAAAAATCATAGTTTTATTTTTAAATAATATATAATTTGGATTTTTATGATTTAAAAAATTAAATAATTTAATTATTTATTTATGAAAACATGGATTATACTATAAACACACTAAAAGTAGGATGATAAAATTATATCTAAATAATAATAGCAATATAGTAACAGCTATAAAATTCTTCAACTAAAATGTTCATATTTCATCCCAAAGTAAAATTTTAATTACATAGCTCTTTCATTTATATTTTTTGGGGCAATTACTTACTTACTTACAAATTAAGCTACATAGAGGGTGCTCTAGTGTATAAGCAGGTATCACAAGTAACCATAATATGATAACCAACAAAGAATAAAACATCAGGAGATGAAAAAATAAATTAAAAAAGAGAGAGAGCTTGTGAATTAAATCATATTAGAATTATGGCCGTGAGGATTCAAGAAAAATAAATCTGAAAATGTGCATATATTAGATTTAGTTTCTACTAAGAATTATTAGTTATTTCTCAGATTAGCAGATCTACACATTATTATATGCAAAATAAAATTTGGATTATGGTTTTCCTGGCAGAATTATCAGTACACAAATAAAAAAAGTTACACATCTATTATTCTCAGATAAAAATGTCTTATTTATGTTTCACAAAATCTAAATCAAAATGTAGAAAAGAATAAATTTAAAAGCACATTAAAAGATGTTTTATTTACAGAAATAAAACTTGCCAACTTCTTTTTCAAAATTTCTAATTTTGTTTTCAAGTAATAAAAGAAACTATACTTATTAAAATATTCAGCGATTTTTCCATATAATACTCAACATAAATGCATTCTGTTTTATAAACTGCATCACTATAATGCTGCTGTTAAAAATGAGTTTGAATTTAACAGACTTAAATATAAATTTTCCTTTTTTTTTAATTATAATAATTAACCTTTCAATTCAAAATGTCTCCATATCTGTTTTCCACGTTACAAATGAATCTTTTCATAAATTATACTCCTACCATCACCAAAAAGCTATAATTTATTTAGAAATAGTGATGCATAATAGCACATGATATAATAATGAAGTTGATAACAAAGAGCTGCTTAAAATTTTTGTGTTTCATTTTATGCTGTCTAGATTAGGAATTTATTATGGGAAGGCAAATAGTGCGTATCTGCCATTGGAAGAGAAACATGGTGATGTAGAAATTAAAATTATGCAAAAACACAACCTTAGACTGGCATAGAGTTAGAATAAAGCTACCAGCTTCAAGGTAGGACATAGATTGCTCTTCTTTATTGCAATAATGTAAGGAACATTACTGCAGAGAATTGCAGTAATGTGAAGAACAATAAATTTATATGAAAATCAGTGAATGAATTAATGAGAAAATGAACTTAACTCTATCTGTTGAGAGAAAAGTAATAAAATCTATGTCAATCTTAAGGGCTTTCCCACTCTTATATTGGTTTCTACTTTAAATACCTGCCCGAAGTTTTTTCTAAATGAAATTGGTTTACATTTAAACTATGCATAAGCAAGAGCAATGATAATATTCATCCAATAAATTATTAGAAACTAAACTAAATTTAACCAATAAAGTGTTTAAAGGCTTTTATTTACTAGGCCACTGGTATATCAGAAAGAAAATTATAATAAAGAATGAATGGGGATTAATTACTTTAAATTTTGGTTACATAACATAAAGAAATATTTCAGTTCTGAATTTTTAAGAGCTAATTTATGTGAAATGAATTGTCATGAGCATTAAAATAACTGAATTATTTTTGCTAAATAAAATGAACTATTAATATTTTAATTCTAATATAGCACATTTGTTAACTTATTAGTTTTAGAAATTTCAGAACTGAATAATTTTAATTCCTTTATTAAGGTCAAAGTTTTAAAATGTTGAAATGTTTTAAAATCAGTATAGCAAATATGCTTATAAGGCAAACCAGATAGCTCTTAGTAATGCATCCTGTATTTAAAAAGAGGTTTTTTTGAACATTTCACATTTAGTTGAAAAAAAAAACCTCATACAATAATATATTTAGTTTAGAAAAGCACTTATTATAAATGAACTATTATAATTGTTTAAGTTTTTATAAAAAAAAGTTTTCATTTGCATAAAATTGCAATTTTTTAACATACCAATGAGAAATGTAAGAGACTACATAATACAGAGATTTAGTTTATTTATAATATTGTATATTTTTCAATGTAAATATTGCATATATGGGAAAAGCATCTAAATTTATATGTAAATGTGCATTTTTTAATACTTAAAAGGCTATATTTTTCTGAAATGGCAACAGATAATTTCTATTTCTTTCAAATGAAAATTAAAAATTAATTTTGTTACGGATTTTGTATTTATTTAGCTACTTTTAGTAGAATTGTACTTTAGTAAATTGTTTCATATCCCCATGCAATGCAGCACGAGAGACTTATTTGAAGAGAAAGCTATGCTGGAAAAGTTAAAATACAAGAGCACGTGCATTTAATAAATAAATATCTCATAATTGCTTTTCTTTTGCAGAAAAGTCGAGAAATAAAAATTACCAGAATGTTCTCATGCAAGATTAAAAAGCCTAGAAAAGCTGGATTAAAATATCACAGTTCAGTTGTTTACTTAGTTCTTGTTGTTGACTGTAGCGAATTTGCGGTGAGATCGGATTAGCTTTTTCTGCTTTGAATTATATAATATAACTGCATAACGTTTTAGTTGTTTAAAATATAACTACTGTGAAATATTGTGATATTGTAAGAATATCTCTGAGGAAATTTCAGCATTTTGTTTTATTTCTTGAGATAAAAATAAATTTTATTAACTTTTTATCGACTTGTGCATTCAATCTACACTCAAGAGCCAAAACATTATGACCAGCCCTACATTTTGCGATGAATGCGCCTGGATGACGTGATCAGGCACGTGATCAGGTGGAAGTGGTATTTAACTACTGCTGGAGAGTCTGAAGAATCATTCTTTCACTTACTTCTGTGTGTGATGGGAAAGGCTGCGGATTTAAGCGACTTTGATAGAGGGCAGATTGTAATGGCTCGAAGACTCAGAACAAGTATTTCCGAAACTGCATGACTCGTGGGTTATTCGCGATCTACAGTTGTTAGTACATACGAAAAGTGGATGAATGATGGTGAAACCAGCAGTAGACAACATGGTGTTGGACGTCCACACGCTATCAAAGAAAAAAGTCGTTGGAGACTGTCTCGCATGGTGAAGCAAAACCGGAGCCAGACAGTGGCTCAGCTGACAGCTGAATACAATGCAGGGCCAAGTAGAAAAGTACCGGAGCACACTGTTCAGAGGACACTGTTGGATATGGGGCTACACAGCAAATGTCCCACTCGTGTGCCTTTGCTGACGAAGCGTCATTGCCAACTGCACCTGCGCTGGGCCCGGGAACATCGCGACTGGTCCATGGATCAGTGGGAGAGAGTTGCTTGGTCAGATGAATCATGGTTCTCATTCATCATGCCGATGGCCGTGTCAGGATACGCCGTCTTCCAGGAGAACAGTTGCTCCCTCAATGCACAGTAGGTCATACACAGGCTGGTGGTGGTGGTATTATGCTTTGGGGGACGTTCTCTTGGGCGTCTCTGGGACCCGTGGTTGTGGTAGAGCAGACCATGAATGCTACAGGGTATCTGAACATCATTGCGGACCAGTTGCACCCTTACATGGCCTCTGTTTTTCCAGCTGGAAATGGAATGTTCCAACAGGACAACGCCCCGTGTCACAAGGCTACAACTGTGTTGGAGTGGTTCCAGGAACATGATGCTGATTTCCAGTTAATGTCTTGTCCGCCTAACTCACAGGATATAATTCCGATAGAACACATTTGGGATGTCATGGGACGGCAGCTCAGAAGTCAAAGACCACCAATTCGCAATATCTCGGATTTGCGTGACCGTTGCTACAACATCTGGTACAATCTGTCTCCGGCCATCTATCAAGGACTTGTGGCATTCATGCCAAGGCGGGTTGAAGCCGTGTTACGTGCCAAAGGTGGCCCAACTCATTATTGACAGGTAGTCATAATGTTTTGGCTCTTGAGTGTATTATGAACCCATATGCATGCAACAATTAACTGATTAACTTCCAAATGTAAATATGCTAACACAAAATTTATTTAGATCTTAATGCTTTCAATCCATTGATGCTTCATAAATTACTGAAAATTGCATAATAATGTCATAAAATATTTAATTAAAAGAATGTTTACATTGATACAGGAAATCTATTAAATGATGTCTATAAATCTATTAAATCTATAAGGCACTGAAATAGTTCAAATTTTCAGCTTTAATATTTCAAATAACAAATTATGTTTTAAGGATTATTATATAGTTTCACATTATAAAATTTATTCCTATGACATACTAAAATTATGTAATTTACTGCTACAATGTCCCAAACTTATACTTTATCATAAACATTGCCATTTTTTGAAAACAATATTTTAATATACTTCAGAACTTATGAAAATATATAAAATGAAAAGTAAATGCATTTTAACCATTGGGACTTTTTCAATTTATGATACATTTTAAGAGAAACTAAGAAATTCAAAGTAAAAATTTCATTATTAATTATGACATAACTACAAATACAGTATCACCTATGAACTGTGTTACAGTACACAGATGGCAGCAAACAACACTCCTTTTCAGTAATAAAGGATCTTCATTAATGAATTTAACAAACAGAGATGAAGGAAAAAAATCCACTCTAACCTGCACTGCAGTAAAGCCCAGAAAACACCACTATTTCTTGACATTGTTTCAGAGTCTGAATTGATGGTCAGAAAATTACCCTGACCGGTCCAAAACACTAAAAGAAAAAGTAATTATATATATAAAAAAGAAGAGGAGTGCAATGAAGAACTATGCATTACATAGAATTGTCTTTTAAATACCTGAAAGGTGCTATCCATTTTTAAAATATTATTTGATATTCATTATGCAAATATATTTATATATAAGATTTATTATAGCAGGGAATGAGTTAAGGTTTCTCCTGAAATATTTTGTTGCCCTCAACAGAAAATCATTTCTCATTCATAGATCATTTAAGTTTTATAAGTTTCAGTGTTTTATGCAATTTTTAGGGTTTCATTATGAATGTTTGTGTTTTTAATTTTGTTAATTCATTGTTGTTTTATGTAATTTTCAGCAAGCTATTATTATTTTAAAATGGCTATTGTTTTGCATGTGTTAGGTTGGTGAAATGTTTGTCCCCAATGATTAGCAACTAAACGAGAGGGTTGGGTGGATAACACATTGGATATTAGCTTAAGATAATCCAAAATATTAAAATTATTACATTCTAAATTTAATTCTTTTGCTTCCACTTCTTTAATTAGCAACAAAATTCGTGGGTCAATATAGTTGCTCAAAGCAACATGCATGCCATCCCTGTAATGTATAATATATATTTATTTATTCGTTAATAAACACAGACTGAAAAATCTCAATTTGTACAAATAAATTATATGTAAAAACAAATGTATTGCAAAGCAAAGTATTGAACTTTTGGGTAAAATATAATACTATAATCCTTCCAATTTTGGGCCAAATTTAAAACAGGGTTTTGGATTATCCTTTTTTTATTACTCTACAGTCTCTTTCTACATATTATCAGGAAGATCTGCTAATTAATCAATAAAGGGGTTGCCAATCATTTCAAATTGCTTCATATTAGCTTTGGAATATGTTCTGGAAAGTAAGGCCTAAATTAATCTTTATCTCAAAGATGATGCAGAACCTCACTTTGGATTATCATTGTGATGCAAATGTAATATGGTACTTATTAACCCATCTACTATGAAACTGTCACCAAGCAACTCAATTTATAAGTAAGTATGATGCAATACTACTACATTCATAGCAACAGTATTTTAATTTGATGCAACTCTGACTTCAATAAGCCCTTTTTTGTTCTTATGATCAAGGATATAGATTATTTAAGCATAGCACACAATAGCTGTATGTCTAAGGGGAGAGATGCTTTTGTTAAGGACCTTTTGAGGCAAATCGTCATGTATTCTCATTTCATATGAGAAAATTTATGAAAACTAACCACACAGCCAGCCTGTTCATCATGGCTTGACTATCAATATTCAGCTATCCTAACCACTTAGGCACTGGCAGGCCTGAACAAGAAATTAAACTCTTACTAATGTTCTTTTCCCTAATATTAAAAAAATGATTAAAATCTGGGAGCTGTATTCTACAGAACAAGCAGTGGACTATTTTCAAAGTTCTTAGATCTCACCATAAAAAAAAATGTGTATTAACAGACATGATATGATCAGTTGAATATGGTCAACAAAATATTAACAGACTGTAAGCCTCACTTATGGGAAGTTTGCATTCATGATATTGTAAACAAAGCTTCCACTAAAATCAGAGGGCCTAACAAAATAGAAGAAACTGAAGGAAGCCTTTTTATGAAGTGCAAAAACATGCTGGGTCAAATACTGATTATTGTATTGAAAAAGATATCAGTCCCTTCAGACTTCAGCAAGAACAATTCATCTACCAGTGGTGAGATCTCTGCCAGCATTCAAGGTCGACCTTCATTCTTATTATTCTTAGCTCAAAACTTTCAGAGAACTTTTTTCTTTAATTGTTATTATTTGATTCTTTTCCAGTATGGAAATTATTTGGTAATTAAATCTTGTAGTGCTGAACATAGAAAGAAATATATTGATCATCTTTTAATGGACTTTAAAATACTGTAATTCTCCCAGTGATCATCAACTACCCCTTTAGTTTTATTACAGCATGTAACCCCACGGCTCAACGAGCGCAACCTAGCGGCCGCCGGAAGACACCACCTAAAAAAAGACTACAGCCTTCAGTCGGTGTACTGGAGTCATGAGCTAAGCATGCTGTTTCCCCGAGATTTACTTTGTAACTTAAATGTGTAATTATAACGCCCTTAATTGTAATGTTTTATATTAATTGTGTTTTGCTAATTAAAACTAATTATAAAGGCCAGGTGAGTCTTTTGTTTATGTTAGTTTTGGTTGTAGTTGGCCATCCAACTCACGGCTCGAATGATTTATCCAATTTAGAAAAAACATGTTTAGTTTATGCTTCCAGGACATCGACTCATATTCTTTTCCAGGTTTTAGGTACTACTTCCACAAGCAAAGTCCTCACCCGAAGATTATTTTAAAAATTGAATGACGTAGTGGTTTCATCTTCACCTGAAGATTATTTTGGAAAATTGTATGAAGTATCGATTTCTTCTTCACCTGAAGATAACAGATAAGAGATTTTTACTTAATAAGCATTTAACTTAATAAGAAGATAACAGATTTTTACTTAGTAAGCAATATAAAATTCTAACTACACTGGTTATCATAAATTAAGGAAAAATCACATAAATGGCGATAACTCCCTCAAAAATAAGCCAAACCATGTAAAATTAAATTTGAATATGTTGCCAAGTAAGAGTAGCTGAGTAAAACGACAATATGCAAATTAGTGGCGCTGCACTCAGAGTACGTCATCTGCGAGGAGAATAAAAGTCCATGTTTGAGAGCAAGTCTACATATTTCACTGTGATAGTGACATCAGAAATCTGAGATAGCCAATTCGTAACAATGACCTCCAGGCATCGTTTGCCTGCAGAACTACGATGGAGAGCCATTGGGAGACTAGAGGCAGGATAAAGTGAAACAGAATTGGCCAGATGGCTAAACATGAGTCTTTCTGTGGTTCATAGATTTTGGAGGCGATTTCAAACCACAGATTCCGCCTCTAGAAGGTTTAGCCAAGGACGGCCAACTGCTACGACGAGTGCTGATGACCGATATTTGACATTATGTGCACGCAGGAATAGAACCGCTACTCCGACTCTTCTTAGATCCTCCCTTGCTGCAGCCACCGGAAGGTTCGTGTCAATGTGAACTGTGCATAGAAAGCTTTACGAAGGTGGTCTGTATGCGAGACGACCAGCCATTTGCGTGCCGCTCATGTCACGCCATAGGAGGGACCGTTTGCAATAGGCACGAACGACAACATGTTCAATGGATGCTTGTTCTCTTTACGGATGAGTCCAGGTTTAGTCTAGACTGCGATAGTATTCGTTATTTGATATTGAGAGAACCTGGAACCCGTTATCACCCGTCAAACATCCGTTAAAGAGATGCATACAGAAGAGGCAGTGTCTGTGCTTGGGGTGGCATCTCTTTGGGTGGACGCACAGACCTCCATGTCTTTCCAACGGAAACCGTGAATGCTCCGGTTTATAGAGATGACATCCTTGATGCTGAGTGCCCATTTGACGGGGCAATTGGTGATGCTTTCGTGTTACAGGACGATAACTCAAGACCCCACAGGGCTCGCATCGTAGATGATTATCTTCAACAGGAAACAATTATGCGCATGGAGTGGCCAGCTCGATCCCCGGACTTGAATCCTATCAAACACGTTTGGGATGATTTAGAGAAACATCTAACTGCTCTCAGTCTGCCCCCTCAGACCCTTGCCACGCTTGCAACAGCTTTGCAAGAGCAATGGCTCTCGTTTCCTATGGAACTGATAGACCGCATAATTGAAAGCATCACGCATCATTGTATGTCCTGGATTCCTTCTAGAGGTGACCACATTCCCTGTTGAAGGTACTTTTCCTATAGCAAACTGACACCTTCAATTTGTTCATTTTATACATGTGCTAATTTCTATACTACCATAATTGTCTGGTAATTTATTTTTATGTTATTTGATACCTTACTATGTGTTGTATATTGTGGGTAAGTTTCATAAAATTCTACGTGTAACTTTTTCAGTAATCGTGATTTTTGTGATTTTTCCTTAATTTATGATAACCAGTGTATAAAGTGATTAATACTTTAATTATATGGAATGGAATGTGTCGTTAAAAATGAAACAGAATCATATATAAAGTATAAGCTCTAGGTGTTTCCTTTTAGATATGTTGCACTTTAAGAATTTATATTGTCTTACATTGTTTTAAATAATTTTTTCATTTGAATTTCCTGTGTTTTATTTCTATGTTCTAACTGAAGATTAATTTTGCTTTCACTGGAAGTCAACACAAGTTAAATTTCGTTTCGTTTCTAAACGAAAATTAATCACATGGCAAAATGTTATTTTTATTCTGATTGATAAATGTTTCTTATGTGCATAATTCTTTTAGTATTTTTATAACAGTTCTGCTATCTATGAAAAAGTTGTGTGTTTTGTTTTATTTTATTTTATGAATAATATTAACGGATATTTTTTTCCCTCTTTGATTAAAAAGTGAAAAGGGTTTTATCTAGCATATTATTTAAAAACTGCCACTAATGTTTTATTTTTATGCAATAAGAACAGTTCTTTTGAATTGATATTTTAGTTGCCATTTTTCTGAAAAGGCATTCTAAAACTTGCTGCATTTTGGAATTATGTGTTTATCAAATTTTTAAATTATTATTTTGTAATATTTGAGAACAACTTATGTATCTAATAGTGTTTTTCAAAGAGAACTACAGTCGAAATTTAATTTCTTAAAGCATTTAGAATTTTGTAAACATCATAGGCATTACTAATAGAAGATTTATCTAAATTAAATTATATTTTGGGGATTTTATGTTTACTAAATTTGTGCATTTTATTGTTCATTGGCAAATGTACCAATCGTTGTAAAATGCTAGTTTTGTTTTCGAAGTAATCTCAGATTAATGATTTTACTGATGTTGTTTTTCAACAAATATTATATAATCGTTAAGGGTAATTAAGAAATTCATAAAATTTCTGTAAATATAATTTTTCTTCAAACAAATATTGAATTTTTCACAAGAGAACTACTTCGAACCGGGGGAAGATCCAACCCCATGCAGTGAAGGTTCCTGATTCTGTGCTGTTGAATGAATCATCCTGATTCTGTATTGTTGAATGAATCATCCCGGTTCAGTGAAGGTTTGAAGAGAATCATCCTGATTCTACGCTGTTGAATGAATCATCCCGATTCAATGAAGTTTGAAAAGAGTCAACCTGATTCTGTGAAGTTTTGAGTGAATCATCCTGATTCTATGCTGTGCGATGACTCATCCCGATTCAATGAAGCTTGAAGTGAATCATCACGATTCAGTGAAAGTTTAAAGAGAATCATCCTGATTATGTGCCGTTGAATGAATCGTCCCGATTCAATGAAGTGTGAAGAGAATCATCCTGATTCTATGGAGTTTCGAGTGAAGTGAATTATTCCGATTTAATGAAGTATGAAGAGAATCATCCCAACTCTAGGCTGTGTGATGAATCATCCGATTCAATGAAGTTTGAAGTGAATAATCCCAATTCAATGAAGTATGAGGAGAATCATTCTGATTCTATGCTGTGTGATGAATCATCCCGATTCAATGAAGTATGAAGAGAATCATCCTGATTATGTGTTGTGTGATGAATCATCCAGATTCAATGAAGTTTGAATAAATCATCCTGATTCAATGAAGTTTGAAAAGAATCATCCCGACTCAATGAAGTATGAAAAGGATCATCCCGATTCTATGAAGTTTTGAATGAATCATTCTGAGTCAGTGAAGTTTGAAGAGTATCATCCTGATTCTATGCTGTACCATGAATCATCCCGATTCAATGAAGCTTGAAGAGAATCATTCAGATGATATGTTGCTGACGAATCATCCCGATTTAATGAAGAGTATGAAAAGCATAAAAATATATTACGGTCGTCAACGTCTTAATTGTGTTTTGTTAATTAAAACTAATTATAAAGGCCAGGTGAATCTTTTGTTTATGTTAGTTTTGGTTATAAGCATATACTTTTCTATTGTTTTACATCTCCATTTTCAAAACGAGTATTTATTTCACAGATTGTCTGTAAAGATGAGGTTCATTTTTCTTGGTCTTAGATAAATGTTATTCTTTTTTCTAATTCCAAATAGACTTTATTTTATGGTACACACATTTCTGAATTCTTTGTGAATTGAGCTTTATTCTTTTTTCAACAATATAACATTTTATCCAGAAGATCCTTAACTAGTTCACCCTAATAAACGAGTTAGCTATAATTATATTACAACTTGTATTACATATCTGAGGTTAAAATTTTTCTATATTATTTAAAGGCTTGCTTAATGGCACATGCAAACTGTCAACTTCTTTCCCATATGTATTATATCACTTTGCATTTCTTAGTCACAGTCATCTTGATCATTTAAACCTTGCAATTATCTGCATCAAAATCATTAAAGAGAATTCAACATATTTTATCTAAATCACAGAGGTTGTTTAAATTGCATTTACATTTATATGTTGATATTAATATTCCAGATAACAGGATTCCGAAAATTTATGTGACTGGACATGACATACCCGATAAATAATAATAACAATAAAATGCAATGGCAAGGAAAAAATTTTAAAGTAAAAGAGATTTAAAGAAAACATGTACTTTCTGATTATCTGCACTCCCAGCAAAGAGTCATGAAAAAGTATTCATGATGCAAATCCGGATGTTGAAAAAAGAATTTATCTGGCAACCCAGGTATGCGCATTGCAGATATTATTTTAGCCAGTGTGCTTTGCCAAAGATGTACAGATGTAGAGTTTGTGAAATTTTCAGCTTTTTTTTGAATAGAAACAGATCATGGCACACTTGGAGGAGCAGCAGCACAAAATAGAAGGAATTCTAAAAAAAGGTTAAGTGTTTTATTACTGTATTTTACTAGTTTGTTGATTTTTTGTGGAATATTCAGGATGCAGCCATTTTGAAAATGGTTATTGCCTTCACACATTAGCTTGGCAAACAATTAGTCAACAACGCGTTAGCAAATGCTCTCCAAAGTTGGCAACATTTTTATGACTTTTTGAAGGAGTTGCAGATATTAAAAAAATATCAAAAACATCAGATTTTAACAAAAAAAGATGTTCTTCAATCACAATTTCAAAATTTTAGAAGAAACTGTCATAGTTAATAGACATGAAAATGTATTTTTTTGCCATAAGTACATTCAATACTTTCTGATTATTAATCCTCCTCCAAAAAATTAGCAACTTGGTGTCGACTACATTTTCACTGAAGCACACAAGCAGCCAAGCGGTAAAACCATTGAAAACTGGTAGTTCAACCTGGATTTAGTTCCAGGCAGACAGCACTAGTGCGCTTTCCCATAAATTTTTTTGCCAAGATAATATGTGAATAGCAGCAACCATTTTGAAAATTATGGCACTCCAGGAATTCCATAAAAGGACAAGAGAATTAATAAAATTACAAAAGTAAGAAACATTCACAATAAAACACTTACCACTCTCAAGAAATCTAATTTTTTTTCCTGTACCAAGCAATCTGTTTTCACTTGAAAAACATCAGAAAATTGTCAAATTTGCAATTGCACATGCTTTTATCTATGCATGTATACAATAATTTGTTTTCACTTCAAAAGAACATTAGAAAATGTACAAATTTCGATTGTGTAAGAAGTACAACTTCATGAAATGTGCATCTTTGCATTCCCTACTGTTGGACGAAATGGCATTTTTCTAAAGAAGTGTAATTTTTCCCAGTCGTCCAGCAGACTCCACAGTTACCATCCCTTATAAATGGGAAAAAAATGTATTTAATGCAAAAGCAAACACTAATCAGAAAAATGACTGTCGAATTTGAAGGTGGAAATCCACGTTCGTCTGCTGCAGCTGCATATATACCTGGGTTGCCACCTAGATTTTGCCCATGTTATGGGTTGCCTAATGAATATTTTTCAGGAGGGCATATAGATAATCAGAAAGATCTGTTCTTTTTACATCTGGATACAAAAAGATAGCACAAAAATTGCATCATAATGTTCCTGCTCGACTAATTTTTTAGCTAATCCTGATTAAACACAGAAAAGAATTTCACAGATGACCATGATGGCTGAAGGGTTATTATTATAACTTTTAAATTGGGACTTTCATGTAAGATCCCATTTACCACATCAGTTGAATTTGCTGGGTTATCATAACATTTAAATATAACAGCATGTATTATTAAATGATTTATTGGTTGACATAATTTGTAAACCAAATTTAAAATACTGCCGATTATTATAAGCACAAGGGAAACATATATTCAATACATATACTTACAAGAGGCTCCAAATCCAACTAAGGCTGAGGCAAGATACAAACACCAAGCCATGTGGAAGAAAAAACTTGCAATAAACAAACTGCATGTAAAGAGAAACAAGATGAAAATCAGGAACCTTTGTACAGATTCTATGCAGAAATTATTATCACAACTTGCATAAAACAATTTATTCTAAATGTTCTAAGCATTTAATAGTGGCAAAATATATTTTTCTTTTAAGAAAATTTCTCAATGACACAGCAGCTTTCAGAAATTAATAAGAAGGCAGGAGCATATTAGTTTATTCAAACGAATCTACATCAATTAAATGGATCTGCACCAGTTGAAACAACAGATTACACATAAATCTACATTTAAGTATTTAAGCAGAAGTTGCAACCTGAAAACTTGATATTACAATCTAACATCTCAGAAAAGAGTTTAACTTTAATACATATTTAAAACTTATTTTTAATTAAAAATATAAAGCATGATAAGTTTTGAAAAAAAGGAGCAATCTTAGCTTGATATTTAGATTCCAGTTTAATGCCTGAAATATTTTAAAGTCAAACAGTTAAGAAAGCCTACTTGTTCAAATTAGGTTAATTAATAGGAAAAACACATGAGAGTTATCTGCCTAGGAAAGGGATGACTTTACACAGAACTTTCTAAATGAATGACTCATTGAATATAAGAAAATTATAAAACTTCATGCGCCTCGTCTAGAGTGCGAGATAATTAGCATCGAGTGTGCCTCGTCTAGCGAGCCGTGCAGAGTCGATCAAGTTGACAGCCAGGCAGCGAGTGCCGAGTGGGTCATCGAGTGCACTGAAGGAGTCTCTTAGTGTATCGTTGAGAGAGCGTGCTGAGCTCCGGAAATGACTGAACCGAAGAGTCAGGAGCTGTGCTCTGAGTGTCGTCGAGTGCATCGCGAGTTCTAGCGTGGAGAGTCTCGAGAGTACGTAAAAAAAATACTGAAAAAAATCTATCATAAAGCCTTCTGACAAAAAGGCAGAGAAGCGTGGAGAGTCTCGAAGTTCCGAAACGACCAAGCAGAGTCGGGAGCTGTACTCTAGTGCTTTACAGTGAAGCCGTCTCCACCGTGATAGCCTGACAACCTGGAGGCTGTGCATCGCTGATCAGTGTCCAGCGTGTTTACAGTAGTTCATTCCGACGACTGTAAAACATGTGTTTTGGAGCTGTCTGACAATACTGGCCAATAAAGTGTGTTTCGCTACTTCATCAAGTGTTGTCGTTATTCACTCCAAATCCACACGAACCCTGTACGAACGTGAAGGAAGAAAAAAACGTAACAACTGCTGTCAGAAAAAAAAAATAAATAAATAAAAATAAAATAAATAATAAAAAATAAAAAAAATAAAGTAACAATATAGTGTGGCCGCTGAAATGCAAATATAAATTAGCATTTTTAAAATCCATGTTAAATTTCTTGGCAAGACTAAAATCCATGTTAAATTTCTTGGCAAATGGCAAGACTATTCAAGAATTTTTAAAATATTTTAGCATAAATTCTGCTGTGTGGAGCATAGCAAGATTGTGGCAGGATGTTTCTTCAGATATGTTAAAAAATGCTTGGCATAATTTATGGCCAGCTACCATCTTTCATGGTGAGGACGATGAAGAAGATAGCCGCAAATTTGAAGATTTTCGCATATCACAAACTAAAGGTAAAATTTACCAGTTATTGGATTTTGTAAAGAAATGTGGAGAAGCGGTAATAAATGAAGATGATATAACAGAAGTTTTTAATTGCGACGATAATGCCTCAATCATCAATCAATTAACGGACGGCGAAATCTGTAATATGGTTCTAGATCCAGAAAATATTGCTATGTTTCTTTACCGCGATTGTGATGAAAGTGACAGAGAGGTTATTGAAAACGAAAAAATTTCGATTGACAAGTTAGTCGGTATTCTCGACGCAGCAATTACAGGACTTGAACAGTGGAACTTTGTAACTGAACAAGAAATTATGCCTGTTTATAGAATTAAAGAGAAAGTATTAGCACAAAAAATGAAGCAACTTAAACAACTTACATTGAAAGAAATGTGCGCAATAGAAGCAAGATAAAATTTAACAGAACAACTTATCGTTAGTCACCAAGCTCATGATGCATAGCCAAATATGTTTAGTGAAGGAAAGCTAAATTTGATGATGATAGCTGCTAATTTTAAAGGTTTACGAATATCGCAAAACAACGGTGAAATTTTCCAATTAATGGATTTTGTAAAGAAATGTTGGAGAAAGCAGGCAATAAGTGAAAATGATGATATAAAAAAGATTTTTGATTGTGATTACAATGCTTCTCAATCATCAATCAATTAATGAATGGTGAAATCTGTAGTATAGTTCTAAATCCAGAAAATACCACTACCTATAGTGAAGAAAGTGACAGAGAAGTTAATGAAAACGAGAAAATTTCGACTGACAAATTAGTCGGAATTCTCAAAACAGAAGTTACAGGACTTCAACAATGTAACTAAACAAAAATTATGTCTGTCTACAGAATTAAAGAGAAAAAATTAGCACAAAAAACAAAGCAGCTTAAACAACTTACATTGAAAGAAATGTTTAATAAGGTAAACAAATAAATATTAAGCTTTTTTTTTTTTTTTTTTTTTTTTTTTTGTGTAAATTTTAATACCCTTTAGATCATAAATACTTCATTATTTCATAAATCACGAATTTCATATTTTTAATTTTATAATTCCTACATGCCATCTTACTAGATTTAAACTGATGATCTAATATTTAGAAAATTCCCAAATCTGGAATCGTCAAAGTCCCAACAAGTCCGGATTTCGGACATCGTACTGTATTAGATTTATATACAACATTGTTCTAATATAGGTATTTTGACACAAAATCAGGCTTTTTCTGAAATGACATGGCAATTTTTTTCCATATTTCGATTCTACAACTCGAATTACGTCAAACTGCCAAGTTTTGTAAAAATCGCATGTGTAGTTTTTAAAAAATTAGCTCTCAAAATTTTAGCTCCTCAATGTTAATTGAATTTGGTATATATTTACAAATATCTCTTCTTTTATTAAATTTGATTCTTCTTTTCACATTTCGAAATTTAGTTTCATTCCAAATAACATTTGCCCATTTTTTATGATTTATTTTTTAAGTTTGTATTTTTAAAAAATATTTAGAAATTTTTTGAAAAAAAATTTTGAGTTATAACCTATAAATTTTTACCATCATCTTAAAGTAGATGTACTTACACTCATGTCCATAAATTAAAGATAATTCGGAGTCACGCGGAAATCGAACTCTAAAATAAATATATCACCTGTAAAATCACTACACACATCTTCAAGAATCATATGCAAATTTCAGGAAATAACCAGATGACACCGATGGTACGTCACAATGACGAGAGTGTAAGAGGGTGATATATCAGGAATACAGGCAAAGAAGTAAAATTGTTCGCAGGCGCTTTATAAGCATTTCAGTGAAATAACCGAATAGTTATGACACAAAGGACGCATTTGGATGATTTTTTACGTGGTAGAATTATCGGCCGTCTGGAATGTGGGCGTACCCCAACTGGAAGTATCAGACGAACTTGGAATTGCCCAGAGTGTCATCTCCAGGCTTTGGTAACGATTCCAAGATGATGGTAATGTGAGTAGACGTTACAGCACAGGTCGGCCCAGAGTTACAACGCCGAATGAGGGCCGGTATTTGGCAGTTACTGCCAAAAGAAACAGGCGGAGCACAGCCTCAGACCTGTCTCGTCAGCTCTCTTCAGCCACTGGTACGACAATTTCAAGGCAGACCGTGTACAGACGCTTAGGGCAGATTGGTCTATATGCTCGTAGACCTGTCAGATGTGTTCCACTTACTGCAACTCACTGTCGACTGCGGTTAGCCTGGAGTAGAGAGCATGCATTGTAGACACCGCAACAGAGAGCTTGTGTGATGTTTTCCGACGAGTCCAGGTTTAGCTTGCATACTGATTCTCGCCGGACTTTCATATGGAGAGCTCCAGGTACTCGTTACCACCAAGAAAACAGCATTGAACGACACCGTTACGGTGGTGCAGGAGTGCTCGTTAGGGGTGGAATTATTCTGGGTCCCAGAACTGACCTGCATGTTCCAATTGGAACCATGACAAGCCAAATCTATCGGGACGTCATTCTGAAACAACATGTACGTTTGTTTCGGGGCGCCATGGGCGCACAATTTGTGTTTATAGATGACAACGCCCGTCCTCCCCGTGCAAAGATCGTAAGCGAATGCCTTCAATCGGAGGATATCACCCGTATGGACTGGCCAGCATTCTCACCGGACTTCAATCCAGTACAGCACGTGTGGGACATGCTTGGCCGAAGAGTTGCAGCCCGTCAACCTCCTCCTACATGTCTACCGGAACTTCGGAGAGCAATGCTTTTTGAGTGGTGTAATATCCCCCAAGATCAGATCGATAATTTGATACTCAGCATGCCTAGGCGTTGTACGGACTGTATTGCATCATCTGGGAGACATACAATGTATTAACAATCATACCAAACATGTAATATTGGTTTTTTGTAAATAGGTTTTTTTTGTAATTTGCTCCAGTGAGAAAAAATCGCTAATTTTTTTAATAATATCAAACATATAGCATCTTTTTTTGCTCTTTACGTTTTGATTAATAAATAAGCTTTACAAATAAGTCAAATTTGTTTTGCTTCTAACTCTTCCTTTGCCTGATTTTGCATTATCCTTAATTTATCGACATCAGTGTATTTCTACACATATCAGCAAAAAATTAAAATTTTTTATTCAAAATTTCGAAGATACACGTGAATTTATATATTGGAACGTTTTGAAATTTGGCATATACAGTCAAAGGTTTTTAACCCGGACTCGTCGGGACTTCGGCGATTCTGGATTATCGGTTTTTCCGGATTATAGATCATCAGTTTAATTCTGGTGAGATGGCATACAGAAATTATAAAATTAAAAATATGAAACCGTAATTTATGAAATAAAGAGCAATTATGATCTAAAGGGTATCAAAATTTACAAAAAAAAGCTTAATATTTATTTGTTTACTTTATTAAACATTTCTTTCAACGCGCGCATGCG